CCCGCTAATGGATCCGCGTTGTTGCGACGGGATCGCGCGGCAAACAATGCGCGGAACCCCCGGCCCGCCGCGCGCACTTTATTGGGATTTCGTGAAAGCTCTCCATTTCGGTCCCGCCGAATATGATACGCCCGGCCCATTAAGCCTGCACCGATCCGCGTATCCGCAATCGGCCAGCGGATCGTTCCGCGCGTTTTTCCCGCCCGCCCTTCCCCCGCGCCCTTTCGCGACTCCTCATTTCCCGAACAAACGTCAGGTCGCGACACCCTCGCGGCTCCGAAAAAACGGTGAAAAAAAAAAAAGAAGAAACACTATTCGACTACCGTGTTTCACATTTTCGTTTCACTCAGTCTCCGCACAGTCCCCCCCACGAGTGTATTCCGATTCATTCCCCCCTCCGCTATACCCCTTCCCCGCACTTCGCGCTTGAAATTACACCCCCCTAATACCGTCAAACGCAAAGAAAAAAAAAAAAAAAAAAACGCAGCGAAACCGCCGCATACCTTCCGGTATGATTCCTCCCCTTGCACCGTCCCATTGAAATTCCCTCCGCAAGATGCAACGATCCTGCACAGCAGACAAACGAGGAGGAGTGCACCACTTGAGCGAAACGAAGATACGAAACACATCGGTTTCACCGATTGTTTCCCAGGCGTTTCACCCTTTCGTTTCACCTGAACCCCGAAACGACGAAATCGCGCTGGCGTGAGGGAAGTTTCATTAAACGAAAAAAATAAAAAAATAATAAAAAAAATAAAAAAAAACCATTTCGCCCAGAAACCGTAGCCCTGGGGAATAGAGTGCACCTCGTGTTCCCCTCCACTAGTGCTTTCCGAAACGGGGAATTTTCGAAAACGCCGCGTGCGCCCAACGGCGGTAAACAACCGGGAAGGAAAAGAAGTGACCCCGGGGTTTCTCCGCGCCCAGAAGTGGAGGCAGAGAGAGGGCAAAGAGGAGAAGAAAGAGAGGGAAAGAGCCGCACGCGGTGCAAGACCCTCCACCTTCAGTGGAGAGGCCGAATGCACTTTCTGCCCAATGACCGCGCGTTTCTTCCGTCGGAAGGAACGGCTCCGCTTGCGTGAGTGCACGCGTGTATGCATGTTAAGAGGGGGGCAAAAGGGGGGAATAGATGGATCGGCTCTGCCAGGTGTTCCGGCATTATTGCCGGCGATCGATCGCACTCGGCGACGCGGCTGGGCCGCGTTTCGGCGGGGTATAATATTTTTTTTTTCCCGCTCTTTTTATATATTCCCCTTTCCCCCCCTTTTCGAAATACACTCCATCACTCGTTTTCTCTCTGTCGCGCGCGTGCTTCGCTTCCGGTCCACTCGAAGCCTCTGGGGGGTTTAAATATAAACGGCGATTAAGTCACCTAGAGCAGGTGCGGCCGGAGAGCTTCGGGAGGTTTTGGACGATGCGTAGAAAGAAGTAAAAAAAGAAAAAAGATGAAGGAAAAATGGGGAAAAAATGGCAAAAAATTCGACGAGTTCGAAAAATGTCATCCCCGGATTTTTGAATGGCATATTTACGTTTTCGGGAGGGGGGTTGCGGAAAATATACGAAATTCGGGGCCAGCGCTGCACTGGGCTTGGTTTTCGGCGCAGGGAACGGGAGTGCCTTTTTCCCTCTCGCTTTTTCGTCCCCCCCCCCTATATTTTTTCCTTCCCATTTCCTTTTTTCTCCCCGTGGAAAAAGCACTCCCTCGTTTTCTGGCCTCCACTTCGTTTGGAGGGCTCCGTGCCGGAGAGAGGGGAGGAAGAGCGCGGCCGCGATGCCGGTTTAAGTATAAACCGCGATCGGGACGGCCGACTTCGAGGTGGAAAACATGAATGAAAAGTTTCACCGAGGGCTGTCGGAAAATTCAGGCGTTTCCCCCTCATATCCGAGCACCGTTCCCCCATGGAGCGCCTTTCGAGAAATTCGCCCAGTTCCGTGGAAAAAAAAAAAAAGAAGAAGAAATGCGACATCTCATTGGGGTCGACCGGGTGCCTTCCCGGTCTTTACTCGGGGAGCTCGAGGGGAACGCGTGAATTTATTTTGAATTTTCGGGGACGGTGTAATCCAATGTCTGGGTGTCTTTGGAAATTCGAGGTCCCGGGACCTATTGAGGCTTTCTTTAAGCCGCGTGCATAATGAAGGGCTCGACATTGTGGAGGGACCCAAAGAGCCCGTGCATAAGTGATTCCGCCCCACCGCTCGTTTCTCTCCTTTTCTCCTATTTGGCTCTCCTGACCTGCGAACACGCCTTAAGACACACTCTTCCTCCTAAGGTAGACAGGGCTCGGCAGTCTGGCGAGATATCTCGAAGTGGCCGATCGATCTCTCGCGCCATCGCCGTGAAAGGACTCCCCCGTAGAGTCGTTTTTAATAATCGCCTTCCTCCCCCATTTCGCGAAACACTCTCGACGCGCAAATGGCGGGTTAAAGGAAAAAAGAAGAAGAAAAAAAAGAAAAATTGATAATCGACGACCCGCCGTGTAACTCGAATCCGACGGTCTCGATTAATCGACCAGCGGAGGATTTAAAGAGAGCTCGCGATGCGAGGAAAAGTAATATCGTCCCGCAATAAATGAAATCCGAGGGGGTGAGGGGGTCCACTCGATGGTAAATCGTCCCCTCGACGGGGGGGGGAGAGCTCGTCTAAACTGAATTAAAAGAATCCATACTCCCGAAAGTCGGTCACACGTAAGTTCCCCTCTTTAAAATTTAATATCTGCTCCCGGAGACTTAGGGTATACTTAAAACGCCGCGGTAACTCGGGGGAGAGTTCCGAGTACTTAGTCGGGTCTTTAATATCGATTATAAACGCCGTAAGACTTCCCGGATGACGAGAATACCCATTCCCGATGAAATCACCAAATCCGAGGGGATTTGGATGAATTATTTTGAGGATCGATTAGGAGTCCTCGATATCGATTGTAAAGTCACGAGACTTCGAGACCTCTTAACCCATTCAACACGGAGCCATTTCGACATATGGGCGAAATTCGTCTGACCGTGCAGGCAATATTGGACCAAACGTCGGGCGCCTTTAGGCGGTCTTAGTAGCGAAAGAGCTAATGAGATGACGATTTCGGTTAATTGTTTCGACTGTCAATTGACCGTGGCAAAAAATACTTCCACCTGGAAACTCTCGCATGTTCGAGTCGAACTAAACGAGAATCTTTGCCGATTCTTATCGGACATCGATCAGCTGATATCGCGGTGTCCTTAATCGCGCCTAAGTACACCAGCGACGGGTTCCGCTCAGCCCGACTCCGATTGAGACCTCGATCGGTTCGATCGATCGATCAGGTGATCGATTAATCCCGGCGGCCCGAGCTGGCTTCGAGGAGCGGATAAAGTTTCACCGGTGCGCGTTTTTCTGCCCTCTGATAATACCGGCCAAACCCACTTATATACGGTGAGGTCGGGCCCCCACGTCTTCCGTGAGTGGGAGAGAGAGGGAGCCATCGGCCGCCGGGCGAGTGCGAGAAGGACGGAGCGAGGGTCCCGTCCTGAGAGACTGAAAAAGTGAATGATAAATATTAAAAGGCAAACGGCTCGGATCTCGAGGAACACGTTGTCAGCTCGGTCCCGGACTTACGTACCCTGAATTCAGGGATTAATTCGAGGGCTCCTCTCGTCTTCCTTCGGCGAAACAGGGGGCGAATTTAAATCGAAGAAAACGAGCGATAAGAGAGACCCCCGATAAAAAAAAATAGAGAAGAGAAGTGAGATTTCTTTGAAGAATGCTCATTTGGATCTGGTGAAACCGTTTCGATGGAAGGAACACAGAATTTCTCCCAGAGAAATATTCTGGGGAATTACAACGTCCCGGGAATTTATTTGTAACTATGCTTAATAACAGTTTAATTGTAACGAATAACTCGGGGAAGTATTTCATTCGACGGCTTGTTGGGTATGAAAGCATTATTGCCTTTCGTTGGACTGAGAAATGAAAATGCCCGAATAAAGGAATCCGTTCTTTCCCCCCAAGGAAATTATTTCTCTGATTGGGGTTGAAGTAATGTGACGTTACGGTCTTGACTTTCTTCCTTTATTAATTTAAGGAGTCCGACATTTTTGCAGCCGAGGGTACGTTTCTTTGATTTCATGCCGCAAGTTTCATGAACTCCGGTCAAAGGAATAATTTCTTTGAAAGAGGGCAATTCCTTTTTTTTTGTTTTTTTTTTAGCTCACCGCGAAAGGGACGAGTTTCCGGCCGAGCCGGGACCTCTCACTTTGTTTAACTTAAGAGAGGGGAATACATGATTACAGGGGCTAAAGAAGGGGAAGAGGGGAGATCCCGAGGGAATCTGGCCGGCAAAAAGCGAAGCCGGGATCGAGCGTCCACGTAAAACATCCCGTCAGCACGCGCCGGGAATTAAGAACTCCCTGGAGGGAAAAGTTATCCTCAAAGGGGGGAATCTCCCATTCCCGATTTTTTAACCGACTCCCAGTGTATCACAGGAGGACGAGAAATCCCTTAGAGGAATAGAAGAAACACCGGGAGGCCCCTACGAAATATAATTATTTAAACATTACCCAGAAAGGGGAGAAAAGTCGACCTAGTGCGCGTCGAGACGCCCCGAGAAAGAAAGATTTCATTTGAGCCACTGAGATCTTTTGTCAATTTAAAGAATAATTATTTTACCGGAATAAACATAAAATTAATTGTCGCGATTCCGCGGAAACTTTGCGTCCAATTTTACTCCAGTTAAATACATTTTTTCCGAATTATTAAAGTACTTCTTTGGTTCAATGACATTTTTTTTATTTGTACTGAGTCGAGATTAATGGTTAAATTAATTCTTAAATATTCCAGAAATAGGATAATACCGCGGCAGGGGGAACTCCTGAATCTTGGCTCATCCAGGATCGTGCTAGAGTGATTGACGATCGATCTTGTCGATCTATACTATCGAAAGTCGCGATTTGCCTCCCAGGGCCGGACGAGTACCATGACCTATCTCATCATCCGGATGTTGCTCTACTATCTAATCGTTATCTCTTCGAAGGGCCTGCTCCAGACTCTAAAGCTCTTCTCAGGACATCCGCAGGACCTGGTGAGATGCAGCCCCGACTTCGACGTGAGTATCGGATTTCCGATCGATGATCTTGGGATCGATCGATCGGCAATATCTAAAGACGACGATGATACAAAAAAATCGCGATTTCCACGGTTTTCAAGGCCCGACAATTCAAGTCCAGAAATGAAATCGTTCATGCCAATTACGTATTTCAAGGCTTAAACCTCTCTCTGTACTTTGATAACGATAACCGCGCAATGAATATTAATTAATATTTTTTTTTTCTTCTTCTTTTTACTTATTACCTCAAGGGCTGCGTTTCGACCTCACGGTTGACCTATACTTGGTTAAATGCATTTCCCTAGGTTGAACTTGCGCAAGGAAGCTCGAATTTGGGGAACATACTCCATCTCTAATTAAATCCCCCAGACCTGACAGATATTAATATATCAAAATTATTGTCCTCGAAATTCAGAGCGCGCTAAGAAAGGATATACGTACATAATGTGGTCATGAAGGGGAAACAATTTAACTTGAAAACCGAAATGTCGAATTTCAAACTGGCCAAGATAAACAATTTCATTCGAGAACGAATTCTCAAATGTCGAACATGAAACAATTTCATTAGAATTGAAATTTTTCTCAGGTAATAATCGCCGTTCAAAAAAATCTTTTCTGAACAATCTGACAATATAAAAGATCCTAAGAGGTGCCTGCCCCTTTAAATTGGAGGGTCGGATCAATATCCATAATTTGGACATTAAGAAAAAATATGTTAGTTCGAGAAATTTTGTGAAATTTCGAAGACAAAAAATCGTCGGTGGCAATTTTTTTTATTAGAAAATCGAAAAAGGTGCCTACCAATTTTCTTCCATCTCATCTGTGTTAAGTTATTCGAAAATAATTTTTCGAATAACCTGATAACACAGATAATCGAAAAAGGTGCCTACCAATTTTCTGCCATCTCACCTGTGTTATCAGGTTATTCGAAAATGATTTTTTTAATAACCTGATAACACAGAAAATCGAAAAAGGTGCCTACCAATTTTTTTCCATCTCACCTATGTTATCAGGTTATTCGAAAATTATTTTTTTAATAACCCGATAACACAGAAAATCGAAAAAGGTGCCTACCAATTTTCTTCCATCTCACCTGTGTTATCAGGTTATACGAAAATAATTTTTCGAATAACCCGATAACACAGAAAATCGATAAAGGTGCCTATCAATTTTCTTCCATCTCACCTGTCGATTGTCACCAAGAAAAGGATAGGAAATCGCGTCTGAGGGACTCGTCTCGAGAATCTGCGAAACGGCGAGAGGTGCCCTCCTCGGAGTCGGGATAACAATTCTCGCAATTATAATTGGAGGGTCGGATTAATAGAGTAGGACCTAGAGGGGATGAAGGAGAGGAGGAGGGCACCAACGCCCCACAGAGTGGATCTCCACTTGGCGGAGCCGAACTTCGGTATAAAGAGGAGAAACGTTTCCAGTGGCCGTAGAGTTGGTCGGAAAGTCTCCGGCGTGTAACGACAGTCGTTGTACGTACCTGCAAGTACGCGTCCCAGTTAACGCTCGTTACACGACCCGACGACATCGGGCCCGAACAAATGACACGAGAGAATTTAATTGAATATCCGCGAGATAATTGTCGAGCTCGGAAAAGAGCTTTTCTTCTCGGATCCCACCTTCCTCCCCCTATCCCTGGTCCTGACCTCTCCCCCTTCCCGACCCCTCCACCCACAACCTCTGCAAGTACATCAACTTTACACCTACATGCATCTTGCCCTTAGAGGAGCACTTGGCGGATCAATCGAGGAGCTCTCCCGGGAACAATGGAATTAAATGGCCTTTGCCCGCAGTATCTCCATGCTACAGGCGGAGATATATATTTTGTTTAATCGGAGGGCTCGTTCCCTCAGGAGAACATCAATTTTAATCCTGGACGTCGATTTAAATCACCGAAACCTCGGGATTTTAAGGCCAATTGTCAGTTGTTCCCGAGTCACATTGATTATCATATGAAATCGGAGGCACTCGGTACTCGAAGAAGGAAATCAAGCATTTTAATGCTGGAAATTGCTGGAAATCGCTGAAAATCACCGAAACATTGTCCGGCTTTTAAGGCCAATTGTCAGTTGTTCCCGAATCACATTGTTTATGATATGAAATCCAAGGCATTCGGTTCTCAATGACGGAAATAATGAAATTTAATGCCGGAGATCACGTAGCAATTTCTGGAAATTGCTGGAAATCACGGAAACATTGACGGAATTCAAAGGCCAATTATCAATTGTTACCGAATCACATTGTTCATCATATGAAATCGAAGGCATTCGGTTCCCAAAGAAGGAAATAATGAAATTTAATGCCGGAGATCACGTAGCAATTTCTGGAAATTGCTGGAAATCACGGAAACATTGACGGAATTCAAAGGCCAATTATCAATTGTTACCGAATCACATTATTTATCATATGAAATCCAAAGCATTCGGTTCTCAATGAAGGAAATAATGAAATTTAATGCCAGAGGTCACGTAGCAATTGCTGGAAATTGCTGGAAATCACTGGAAATCACGGAAACATCGACGGAATTCAAAGGCCAATTATCAATTGTTACCGAATCACATTGTTCATCATATGAAATCGAAGGCATTCAGTTCTCAAAGAAGGAAATTACGAATTTTAATGCCGGAAATCGCGTAGCAATTGCTGGAAATTGCAGAAAATTGCTGGAAAATTGCTGGAAATCGTTGGAATTTCAAGGTCGATCGTCCCTCGTTACCGAATCCCATAGTCCTTTATCATCGAATCCCAAAAGCAGTCGGTTCCCAAAGCGACAATTATCTTCCCCGTTTTCCTGCCTATCCGTCCTCAAGGTGGAACGAAGAAAGAAGAGGAGAAAAGAGAACGTCCCGAGTATCCCACAGGACGGCATAAAAAAAAAAAAATCGCCCGCCAGAGTGGCGAGGAGCAAGTCGAATTTCGGAAACTCGTTCGAAAGGAGATCCCGGCCCGCTTTCGGGCTCCCCGGTTCCCTCGGGATAGAAGGGGTCCGTCGGATAAAAAGCGTCGGGATTTTGTCCGGGTTACGTCGGTTAAAATGGCGGCCCCGCGGTCGACGCAATTACAGGTGACATCTCGATGGCAAAGAAGAGAGTACTCTGTCTCTCCCTCTGCCACGCTTTATCGAATCTCGGCCCGGGCGGGGCTTTGATGTGGTTCGATCGCGACTCGATCGCGTAAATGGGCACGTGGAGGTATGTACGAGTACCCGGTCCCCGTACATACACGTACATACATACACACCGAAGTACATACATACTCCGACGCAAATAGCTCGGTCTCGCTTCCTCCTAGTTCAAACAGCGATGTGCAGGCGAGTGCAAGTGCATACAGGTGCATCAGGCTATATACACACATATATATATATATATATATACACATACACCTGTCCAAATCGATCGGCCATCGATCCCCGATCGGCCATCGATTAACATCCGACTGAATTTGCTCTCCTCCCCCTTTACCCCCGGGACTCCTTTCCGCCCGGACTTTTCCCTTCCGGCGGAAACCGCGCGCGGAAAAGGGGTCGGCTCGGAGGACCATCGGGAAAAGGAAGAGAAAGAAAAAGAAAGGGAAATACCTTTCGATCCTCTTTCGCGAGGACTCGCCGTTTGCAAATTTACGAGTGTCCGGTGTCCCCCCAGGGGTGGTGGAGGTAGGGAGGCGGGGGTCGAAAAAAGACGAGGGAGAGGGAAAACAAATAATAAGGACTCTCTATCCGGAAGGGGGGGAGGATATAAAAAGGCGATAGGGTCCCGAATCCCTCCGCGGGTCCTGCGAGAGGATGAGAGCCGTTAATCAAGCGACCCGCCCTGGAGTTTGCTCGCAGTCCGGCTTGTCGATTAACGGAAGTGAGATATACGACCTGCACCTGGGACAGGTGATCGTTAGGGATTTTCAATCGTTTTTGGACCTTCCCCCTCCTCCTGTCCCTCCTCCTCGCGATTTACGACACCACTCGTTATTCCGCTAATGCCGAATTTAATGCCCGCGGCCGCGATCCAATTACTTTACGGGCACCCGAATCGGCGCGGAATCACCGCGGATTGTAAGAAGGGGGAGGAAGACGAAGAGGAAAGGTACAGAGAGAGAGAGAGAGAAAGAGGGGATGACACCGAGAGGTGCACCGGGGAAATAGAAAAGTGTACGGCAAAGATACGGAAAATGCGGAATCGCAGAAAAGTGAGGAATTAAGGAGGAGGATGAAAGAAAACCGGAGGAAGAATGAAAGATAACAGGGGGACCTCACGAAATTTCCGGTGGAGGAACAGAAATTAATTTCAGCAGGTGCTTCGCAATCTCGAAAATGAGGATTTTCACACTTTTCAGATCGCTGGAGACTCGGAATTTTTTTCCACCGTCAAGGACCACTCCCGTCGGTTCCAAAAAATTCCGAACATAAGTACAATCCACAGTGTACTTACACAAATTAATTGAACCCACTGCCGTAACCCTAAGCCATGGAGAAAAAATCTTGAAGAGGTCCCGAATGTATCAGGAATCTTACGGACCTCGCGCAGGCGGGGGCGTTCCGTCCCACGTGATAAATTAGTTAATTGGGGAAGGAATTGGCAACAAAGGAGCAATAAGTAAAATTCCGTATGTTTCGTTTGCATATGCTAAAGTGGTAGGAGAGCTGGTTAAAAGACGTGTCAAAAAGGACGGAGGTGTCGCCGCTCGTAGGGAGGGCACAATTAAAAGCGAGAGAGAGAAAGAGGGGGACAGAAAAGGGAAGAAAACCGCACGGGAAAATAAAGAAAATGGCGAAAGGAGGAAACCGAAGGGTAGGCAACGAAGTGGACGGGTCAACTTGGAAACTAGTTACCCCAATTAACCGCGGAATCCGTAATTCCGCTTCGCTAGATGTTACCTCCCTCTCGAAGTCGTGGTAAAACGGGGGCTGGGGGGTGGACGGGGGAGGGGAAAGGGAAGAATGAATTAAAAGAAAGGGTAAGAAACAAGGAGACGGGGTGTTTCCGCCCTGTAGAATGGGCCGAGCGTTGCGCGAAACCGAGGCGATGAATTTCTAATTAAGTCCCCCGGGTTGTCGGCGTTATATTAATGACTCGCCATTTTTCCCCGGCCGTGGGTCAGGGCTAGAGAAAGAGAGAAAGAAACGCAGGGAAGGGGGGAGAGAGAAATAAAAAATTAGCGAACAATGGAAAACAATACCGGAGAAACTCGCCTGGCGACGCGAAAAGGGGTTCCCCTCTGCGTTCCTCGCCCTCTCGCCATATTTCCCTTTTTCCCAAGTAACGCGATTTTCCCTCTCTCTCTCTCTCTCTCTCTCTTTCTTTCTCTCCTCCCATGAAGATTCGCGATTTTTTACCGCGCCATTCCACGATCGGCGAAATTCTATCTATAAATATGAACAGCTGTTCCCTTTGGAACATTGCCATTTCTTCACGACGAGTGTACCTGTCAAAAACAGCTGATCGGTCGATTCCTCGCGCCACCTGCGGGAGGAAAATCGAAACAACGAATGCGAGTCCAGAGACAAGGGATACATGAATAGGAAAAATGAACACAAAAATAGAAAAAAAAGTCCAAGAAACTTCCGTGAGAAAAAAAAAAGAAAAGAAAAGAAATGAAAAATTTCCGCGGAATCACGGAATTTCGGAAACCCTCCGTCCGATATATCTCGGGGCCGATAAGGGGATCGAACGAGCCCCGCGCGAATTACCTGTAATCCCGGAGCCCCGGAGGATGCCCGGGGTCCTAATAACGATAATTCGACTCGGGACCGCGGCCATTCCGCGGCGGAACGGCCGGCCAACTCGGATCCCCTCTTCGCGAGCAGCGATCGGTATATCTCGAGGCGTGGGCGAGAAGATTACACGGTTGGGGGCGTAATTTACGCGATTTACGTAATTGCACGACAGAGGGGGGGGGGGTGACCCCCAGGAGGGTCACCAAATTCGAGGGAGTCTGAGATTTCGGTACCGCCCGAGGGCATCGAGTTTCTCTTCTTATCATTTTTTCTTTCCTTTTTTTCTTACTCTAATCGCGAAGAGAATCTCTCTCCAGGGGGAGGATGAAAGGGGGGAAATAAGGAGGGAAAGGAGGGAATCCTCGCGACGGGACGCGAAATTGCGGGGATGACAACGCCTCGGAGGATCCAGGACGAGCAGGGGGGGGCTCGGGGGGAAACGGAACGAATTTTAATGATTCCCAGGGGGGTCCCGATCCTTAGAGATCGCGGGACCCTCGTTACGAAGTCCTCGTTACAATTTCCATCATGGGGCTAAAGGGGGCGGCGAGGGGGGGCCCGAGTTAATTTCATGGAACGTTAAGTGCGGGGGGAACGAGATACGGGGGGAGGGGGCCCAAAGTAATGGGGTACGACCTCCTCCTCGTTCGCCCCCCGAAAAGTGTCGGACGAGGAACGACCGCATCTACTGGACTCTATTGGTGTGAGAAAGAGGTTGAAAGGAGGAGATAAAAAAGAAAAGGGGGAAAGAGAGAGACCCAGGAGAAGAATGACGGACAGCGGGGATGGGGCACGGGGGGAATGGGGGGGTCCTGGAAATCCGAAATTCGGAGCAAGGATTAACGTCGTCCACGCTACGAGTCCTGGAATTTATCCCTGGAATTTATTCCCCAGGGAGAGAGGAGGCAATCTCGTGGTATGAACCTCCCCCCACATTTTGTCTCGCTTTCAACCCTTTCGCCCCTCACAGGGGGAGAGATCGAGGGGATGTCACACCTATGTCGATTTTCCTCGATTTTCCGAGGCGACGCGGCTCGAGATGGACCTTCGGTATCATTTCTCCGGTGGAGAGAGAAAGGAAGATATTCTTCTCCTCCTCGCTCGCCCGGGGTCCGGGTGAAGGAGGAATGAAGAAAAAAAGAAAAGAAAAGGAACGTGAAAAATGGAGAAAATGGAAATAAGGGCGAGGAGGGCGCACGCGTCCATCTCGGCCACGTGGGGCGCGGTCCTCTTACAGTCCCTTTCTCTCTCCCCCTAGTTCCGTCCCCGATTTCGCCTCTCTTTTTAGTTCTCCTACCCTGAGAAAGGAGAACTGCCATCGAAGAGTAATTCCATTCGACTCGAATTAATCGTACGCCATGTTTCCTCGGAATTGTGACGACCCATTTGAGCTCATTAGAGTGGAATAATTATTCCGTCGGGATGTTTCGTTAAAGAAGAATGAGAAAAAAAAAAAAAAAAAAGGAAAAAATGTCACCGAGTCAACGAAATAATTTGGCAATTTGTGTGGATTAATGTATTCCACTCGTATGACCTCGAAATTGTGACAATTTATCCCGTCGAATTGGCGAGAAACATTTCTTTCTACACAGTCCGAAGAAATATCTTAATAATTTCTTCGTTGTTACCGTTCAAAGAGATATCTCTCGTGGCAAGTGAAGTCCCTTTTCTCGTTTTCTCATTTTCTCCGTGTACCTTCCCTCCTGAATTTTGTCTCTCTTTTTAGTTCTTTCCAGGGGAGGACGGCTCGGGCGATTACGGGCCGATCGACGTAGACCTGACAAAGACAGACGTGAGTCAAACCTCAGAAATTCGAGCTTGCCTTCGCTCTCTTCCTCTCTCTCCCTCTTTCTCTTTGTCTCTTGCTCACTCTCTCCTACTTCTCTGGACACCTTAACCACGCAGCTCGCAAATGACCCCGGAATGTCGCCTCTGACACGCCATGGCCGAATTAACCCCCGGGCCGAATTAACCCTCCGGGTAGAATTAAACCTGTCCGTGTATACTAACCCCACGGCGTGTAAACGCGGGGGCACAATATTTGCCCCCGACTCGACTCGTGAAATCGTAATCGGCCGATTTTGGAAACCAGAGAGAGAGAGGGAGTTTCCTCCAAAACCGGCGAAAAGTAGTTCGACTTCTCCGAGAAAAAGAAAAAATCACTAAACCGACGAAATTGTATGGAAGAAAAAATATTTTATTCATTCCAAACATTATCCGACACGGATAAACACAAACAAGCTGTGATATTTCCAAAGAAAAGAGAGAGAGAGATAGTTTTCTTGAAAATCGGCGAAAAGTTGTTCGCCTGTGCCGAGAAAAAAAAAAATCACTAAACCGAGGAAATTATAAAAAAAAATATATATATTTTATTAATTCCAAACATAATTATCCGACGCGGATAAACTGAAATAAACTGTGATATTTCCAAAGAAACGTCGTATTCAATTTATCCACGTTTAAGTGGAATAATTAATCCTTCGAATTGACAACGAGTATTTCGTCGGCACTGTTCAGAGAGATATAAACAATTCTAAAGAAACAAATGTAATTTTCTCGGCATCGGTTCGATGATAATTCTCGTCTCAGGGTGGATTATCAAAATCGCGCCGCGATTCGACAGGATGCACCGAGCGATGCACCGAGCCCCGTCCCTGATAACAATTTCAAAGCGGCGCCGACGAATCGATAAGGCTCGATCGCTGTCTAAAAAATCTGCCGCCATCTAGTCCTGGTGGTGGATTCAGGAAATGTCTCAGGAGTAGACAGGAATAATCGATAAACCAAAGATAACAGAGCAATCGCATAAACGGCGCGGCTCCTGCGGTGCATTTCCAAGGTGCATGTGCAGCCTGGCGGTCGCTTTCATCTCCCCGGTGGTTTATTATGAAAATTAATCCAACAAGGACTATTCGCAATAAAAAGTAGGTACAATGGTTATCAGGAAGGTTAGTGTAACGATAAAAGTGCAACAATTGTTGCGAAATAGATTAAATTCGAAATATGCCGGGCCCCGATGCATCGAGCTCTCGGTGCATCGCATCGCATTTATTTATCCGCAAATCTCGCCGCGCGGGAGGGCCGCCTAAACAACGCGCCGGGCGAGCAATAATTAATGGGTCCGGTGTCGATCAATTGTCCAAATAACCGGAGCCCACCGAGTGCTGCAAATGACGCGCGTTTCCGTCCGATGCAGTTTGCAACGTGCCGCCCGCCGCGGAAATGCATCGGCGCGGCTCCTGCTGGGGAGGTTATCAACATTCGAAGGACCTCGACAAATCGCGACACGTTATCAAAATTTGAAACTCAAGAAAAAAAGGGACAGTTGAGACTAAGATTACTAGAAAATTATGATTACTGATATCTGGCTGAATGCATTATCTTAAAGATGCCGCCCGCCATGGAAATGCATCGGTGCAACCCTCGTGGGGAGGTTTTCAAAATTCGAAGGACCTCGACAAATGGTGACACGTTTTCAAAATCGAACATTAAAAAAGAAGGCAGTTAAGGCTAAAATTTCTAAAAAATTATGATTACTGATATCTGGCTGAATGCATTATCTTAAAGATGCCGCCCGCCGCGGAAATGCATCGGTGCAACCCTCGTGGGGAGGTTTTCAAAATTCGAAGGACCTCGACAAATGGTGACACGTTTTCAAAATCAAAAAGAAGGCAGTTAAGGCTAAAATTTCTAAAAAATTATGATTACTGATATCTGGCTGAATGCATTATCTTAAAGATACTGCCCGCCGCGGAAATGCATCGGTGCAACCCTCGTGGGGAAGTTTCCAAAAATCGAAGGACCTCGACAAATCGCGACAATCTCCGGTACGATTCCCTTCGTTCCTCCGTGGGAATGAAGGGGAATAAAAAACATAAAATGAAAAAGAAAGGAAAGCGGAGCAGGAAGGGCGCAAAAATCGGGGATAACGGAGCGGTCTTCCGAGGACCGCACTTCCGGTCTTAATCGCTCCGAAAGGATGTGGTAGAGAAAACCCTGAGAAATGGTGCCCACCGGAGTACCATTTTTCTCGAAGATAGCCCCATTTCCCACGGTAGTTCCCTCCCCCCCTAACCGCCCACAAGTAGGGGACCGGCGACCCCCCACGAAGGAGGGATGTTAATAAATGACTTAGCGACGGATAATAATTAACGGGCCGAGGATTCCCCGATAAATTCCCCTAGGTCCTAATGAATTCCCCTAGGAGGAGAAAAGGACGAAGGTCCTTCCCAAAGAGCCCCCGCGAAATTGGGCGTCGTCCTAGATTACGTACGAGGGGTGCGTCGACATCCTGCCGGTGAAAAAAAGAACCCCAAATGAATCCCATTCCTGGAGTTTCTTCTTCCATTGTTTATTAATTTTTTATCTTCCCTCGGTTTCGAATCTGCAACTTGGTGAGGCATCCGAGCCAAAGAAATATCTCACAGACTCGGAGAATAATTATTTCACTCGAATTAACTTGAATAAATCGGACGCATGACGTTTCCTCGGAGTTGCGAAGATTGTTTACTCGAATCAGCTGATCGCTCTTTGAATTTGAATATACTTCATCGATGCCATTTAAATGAATTTATATCTTTAATTGGACGGATCTCCTTTTTCTGAGAGGAAGTGGGGGGTTACTCCTGGAGTGACAGTAAACCGGGAATTTCGGGAATCTCGCCAACGACAAGGGAAGCCGGCGACGCCGAGGGGTTATCCTCGATTATCGGGAATTAATTACCCCGGGAGGGAAGAGAGATTCCGGGGGATTCCGCCCCGCGGAATCCGCGACTCGGAAACGAGTGCGAAATGTAATAGCGAGGACGGGACGCGTTATCGCCCAATTGTCCCGGTTTAATTACACCCCTGTCCCCCGGGAACTACGGCCCCGGTTAATTAGATGCCGCGGAAAACCATGGAGATTTAATCGCGCCCGTCGACGTTTTAATCCGTCCGGCGAAACGGGAGAGCCGCAGCGGAAGCTCCGCACGTGAGGAAAAACGCCTTCTCCAGGCATCCCCGGAAGAGAATAGTAATAAAAAATAAAAAAAGAAATAAGGAAAAAAAATTAACCGTGGGTCCCTTACTTCGCCCCAAGTGAAATTTCTCACGTCAGAGTAATCCGCGAGTAAGTACGTTAAGAAGAGCCTATCTAAATCTGAAACATATATTTTTTTCATATTTAATCACCCCTGTATACACATATCTTCGCGTCTAAACAATATACCGAGAAAAAGAAATTCATCGAACCAATTTAATTCAAAGAATAATTGTTTCACTTAATCAAGCTCTAATCAATTGTCATAATTTCCAGGAGACGTCGCGTTCGATTTGTTCGAATTCGAGCGAAGTGATTATCCTTCGAATTAACAAGATTTCTCAGGTTCGATGGGGATTTTTATCCTCAGGGTATATAAGAATAATTTCCCAGATATTAACTGAAGAAATGGTAGTTGCAGGTATTACTCCTTTCAGGGATTGTTACGCAGTTCCCCTAGCCTAGTGGGAAAGTTTGACCGTATTTTTCCCCATTTCGGCGATGTGCCAAAATTTTCTCCAGGTTCCTTGTAAGGGGTCCCGGAAAGGGAAGTCGTCCCAGGAGAAAAAGGGGATGAAAAGTCGTTCCCGGATCGACGAAGTCAGGACTCGTCAGGGTGTGGATGCAGGATAGGGTTAATTTGACCGGGTTTCCGGTCGGAACGAGCTCGATTCCGCCTTTCGCCCTCCTGGAGCTCGTTCCACCGGAAGCGGGACCACCTCTAATTATCGCCTAGGTCGCCAAGTACGAGGTAAATCGCATCCCTCGGGACTTTTCGACCCCTTCTCCCTGGAAACCAGAGGCCAAACAGCGAGTCCAACTCCGAAACTGCGGCGACAAACAGGGAAGACTAGGAACCCCTTCCCAAGAGGGGGGGTTCAGAATCCGGGATCGGGATGCTGGGTCCCGGACCCCGGGTCCTGGGGGAAGAGGAAAAAAAAGGAAAAAAAGAAACAGAGAGCAAAGAAAAAACAAAAAATCGACCCCCACGTCGCACCGATGAGCCGAGTTCGACCCAGTTCCCGACCCGCGTCTCGGCGTTAAATTCATTAACCGGATCCAATTAGGGGTCCCGAGGGATCTAGGGGACGCCAGGTCCCGCGGGATCGCCTCCAAAGCTCCCTCCTGCGAGCTCGACCTCCCGGATTTCACCCGGGTCGGAGTGTCGCGCTCTTTAAAGGGACATCCCGAGGGAAGAGTACGCTAATCCCGCGAGAGGGATCCCGAGGGAAGCTTTTAACCCCATCACCACCCCCAGGTCGCGTTTTCGCACATTCGCGCCCGTCAAGGCCCCCCCCTCGTGCCCTGAGTGAAAAAATCGCTTTCCATGAAAAAGGAAAAAAAGAAAGAAAATGATAAATCCTTGTCGAGTGGATCTTTCCTGTTACTTAAACGAAATTAAATTAAATTAAGGGAAATTACAAACCGTACGCGATTTTCTTAAGCCGTACCCGGCAAGCTTGTCAGGTCTCGTTATCGCTACGTTTTCTCTGCCTTATCACGCAAGGGAAAAGAGGAAGTTAAATTCACTTGAAACGGCGAATGGCTTTTGAGAAAATTAACGATGCACTCGTAATGGGCCAGAATTTAATGGAACGTATAACTATAAAAAATATTTATTCGCTATTATGTAATTTCATTCCATCCAAAATGTGAATATTCTCAATATTAGGGATTTCGCTCCGAGAAATGCAATTTGCGAAAACATCGACACTACCAGTTGACGTTGACTTTCCGGCATTCTGTACATACCGATGACTTCCTAAATGAGTCTCCCGCGAGAAACAATAGATCGTATCGGCAGGGAGTACTCAGATAGCCGTAAATAACTAATTTCCTGGATTACTTCCGGCCAGCGTGAGGAAAATCCGCGCGTCCACCCGATCGCCCCTGAGCGCGGCTTCCCGTTTTGCATGCCACCCCCTTTAACCTCCTCTTTCCCCCCGAGGGAAACAACATTCATTCGCGATTAACAATTGAATTCCGCCGAAAAGTGTGGATATTCCCAATTCCCAGGGGGAAATTTCCCGGAGGGAAATTATCAACGGTACGACTTGAGGGAAATCCGCGCGTCCACCCGATCGCCCCCGAGCGCGGCTTCCCGGTTCGCATGCCACCCCCTTTTATCTCCTTCTTTTCCTCCCGAGTGATCATTCTCCCCTTTTCCCGCAGATCGGTCGGGAGGACGACGACGAGGGAAACGAGGACGTTAAGCCGCCGCCATTCATCACCCCGCCACCCCCGAATCCGGACGGTGAGTCTCCTCGATTTGTCAGTCAGATTCGCTCGGGGGGGTTGTAAAAGGAAGTCGAAGGAAAGCCGTGGAAATTGAGCTTGAATTTTCCTCCCAGCCAAGGGCCCCCGGGGCGACAAGGGGGAGAAGGGCGACAAGGGGGAGAGCGTCAGGGGGCCCCCAGGACCCCCGGGCCCCCCGGGGCCGTGGTACGACGCGGCCGACGAGGTAAGTCAGGTCCCCATGAACGTTAAATAAATAAAGACCTCTCAAATGGAGTTTTGCCGAAGAAATGAAGTACCTTACACATTTTTTTTAATTTTAGGACTGGCCCTTGAAGGCGCCGAGGGGTCCACCGGGGCCCAAGGGGGACCCTGGCAGCTGCACCTGCGACGCGACGACTCTGCTCTCGTCCTTCACCATGCCGAAGATGATCCAGGGCCCGAAAGGGGAGCCGGGGGTCCCAGGAAGCGAGGGGAAGATGGGCCAGATGGGACTTCCGGTATGTTGGGATTTCGCTATTGAATCGTTAGGATTTGGAAATTAAATCCCTGGAGCTTTGAAATGACGAATTCCGAGGAATTAATTGGATAACATTAAAGGATGGATTTTTTCAGGGGGCAGGGGGTGCTCCAGGAGAGCGGGGCCAGGGAGGTCCGCCGGGCCCCAAGGGCGACAGGGGGGAGTCGGGCCAGCAGGGGCCCGAGGGCCCCCAGGGGCAGAAAGGGGAGCCAGGTCGGGACGGCATCCCAGGGGAGAGGGGGAGCCAGGGTCCCCCGGGACCCCCCGGCAAGGGCGAGTTCTCTGGATACGACGTGAGTAGACTCTCCGAGACCGGGAAGTAAAATAGAGGAACCCCGCGAGTATCCCGCCGCGGTCGATTCCAGGGGATTCCGCGAGGGTCCTGTCGAGCGAAAACGGCAGGTGTAGAGAAAGAGAGAGGGAGAGAGGAGGAAAACGGGAACGCGAATTGCACCCTCGGGAGCGAGGGGAACGTAAGTGGGGACAGGTACGATGGTCGGCAACGCGCGTTTAACGGCCCCCAGGAGAAGGGGTTAACGTCTACGGGTTGCCACTTCCGGGCGTGGACTTCATGCGAACCGGAAGTGAGTCGCGCTGGACCGGAACCGGGTCGCGCTGCGCCGGAACCGGGTCGCGCTGCACTGGAAACGGGTCGCGCTGCACCGGAAACGGTTCGCGCTGCACCGGAAACGGGTCGTGCTGTGCCGGAAACGGGTCGTGCTGCGCCGGAAACGGTTCGCGCTGCACCGGAACCGGGTCGCGCTGCACCGGAAACGGTTCGCGCTGCGCCGGAAACGGTTCGCGCTGCGCCGGAAACGGTTCGCGCCGTACCGGAACCGGGTCGCGCCGTACCGGAACCGGGTCGCGTCGCCGACGAGAAAAATGAAAACGACCCTTCCTCACCCTTCCAAATCTTAATCAAATGATACATCCCTTTCAAAATGCCCTCCCCGCCGGAAATCCCTAGTCTCACTCGACCCTATCCATCTTCTTATCACTCCTACATCGGCGATTCGTTAGAGAAGGTCGATATCTCCAGTCATCCATTTCTCCGTCCCTCCCCCCTTCTGAGACCGCAGCCGTAGAAATTGGTTCCCGTATTCCCGCGGGAAATCCCTGGGGGGGAGGGGTCGCTTTCCAGCGTGTACAACGGCGCGCGAGATAACGCGTCTCCGTTTGTGCAAGCCCCCCTCTCTCCCTCGGGACTCCGACGTTATCCCGGTGTTTACGGGAGGAGATCCGGAGTCCCAGGAATTCCCGAAAACGACCGCGGTGTTCCCTGACCCCCCCGGGGGCACGCGACTCGATTTATCCGATCGCGTACCCTCCCCGTCGCTTGTCGAGATACTCGGTAGAGCTTCGCGCCAAATACATGTATCCAGGTCCTGTTGAGAAAAATCGGAAAAAATGGCAATTTCTGGATTTCGCGTATGAAAGGACTTCTGACGTATGCATAGAGACCAAGTTTCTTAATCAAATAGCGACTCCAGGAGTATCGAAATATCCCTCAGTCCCGATTTCTCGCATCCCCCGAAAAAAAGGGCCGATCAGCTGATCGGTCGATGGTCGTTCCTTCAGGAATAACGAGGCAAATTAAATACCGACACTTATCCCCCATTTTGCGCAAGCAGCCCAGTTGGAAACCTCGAGGGATCTTCAGGGTGAGTCTGAAAGGGAGGAAACATTATCCAGGGATTCGTTCCCTCGGGAGAAGCAGCGACATTCCGTCCTTTCCCGGAGTCTAAGCGACAGGAAGGAGTTGATAGGGAATCGCAAAGAAAAAAAATAAATAAATAAATAAATAAAAAGAGGACTCTTTTTCCCGATAGACGGACGGGATCACGATGAGGCCAGGACTCCCAGGGCAGAAGGGGGACGCCGGGACCCCAGGGAACGCGGGGTCAAAGGGCGAGCCCGGGATCCCAGGGTCCAAGGGGACCAAGGGGGAAATCGGCCACCATGGTCCCAAGGGAAGCCAAGGTCGAGACGGGTCCAAGGGGAACCAGGGACTAAAAGGCGAACCTGGACAGCCAGGATCCCCCGGGATTCCTGGAGCACCCGGCGAGAACGGCAGGCCGGCGGAGAAGGGCGAGAAGGGGGACACGGGTCCCGAGGGAAAGACAGGACCTCCGGGACCCCCAGGTCCTCCGGGCTCCGCCGGCGTCTTGGGCAGCCTCAACGTCGGGGACACTGGTAATTAAAAAAAAAGAAAAAAAAATCATTCGAAGGAATAGGGTCAAGGAAAAGGGATAAATATGGAGAATTCCAGGAGTTCCCGAGGGATCGCGTTGACTTTCTCCTTCTCTTTTTTTTTACAGTGATTGGACAGAAAGGGGACAAGGGCGATCTTGGAGAACGGGGATACAAGGGTGATTTGGGACCCAAGGGGGAAAAGGGCGATAAAGGCGACAGGGGGGCACCTGGGATCCCTGGAGTTAATGGAGTCCAGGGTCCCCAGGGCAATAAGGGCGAGGCTGGGGAAAACGGGATTCCTGGAGTCCCCGGGATTCCTGGGACCAAGGGCGAGAGGGGCCCTCCTGGTATGTTCTCCATTCCTAACAACGGCACCGATTACGTCCTTATCAAGGGAGATAAGGGCGTCGAGGGGAAGCGGGGACGAAGAGGTCGACCTGGACCCCCGGGTCCCGAGGGGCCGCCCGGGAAACCTGGAACCGCCGGCGAGATCGGACTCCCTGGCTGGATGGTAAAAAAAAATCTCGATCGGATATTTTTATTAATCGAACGTATTGAAAATTAACACCCCGAGATAATTACCTCGCGTAACGATTTGCATCTCTTTTCTCTGTCAATGCTCACGAAAGAACTCAATCAAGGTGAGTATAAGTGACATAAACGTCTGCAATGAAAATCTAAGAAAAATTCCAGGACTCTTACAGCAATCTATTTAATATCCATTTAAACCTGCGATTAGAAATGAAAAGTGATATTTCATTTTTATTTAACGACGTAACAGGTGAATGGGAAATTCGACAGGTATCCTTTTTATAGGAATTTTTCCAAGGTGCTCATCGATATATATATTTAATTTCAGGATTAGGATCAAGGATAAAATTTCATTTTCGAGGCTGAAACCTTGCAAAAGGGGACGAAAGAATTTGACGGATATCCTTTTTACAGGGACGTCCAGGAATCCCGGGGATTCCCGGCACTCCAGGATCAAAGGGTCCAAAAGGGGACAAGGGCGAGCCAGGAGCACCGAGTCCTTACGGGATATCCGTCGGCGTGAGTACTCCTCGGGATGATCGAGATCATTAGGACCATAAGGATCTACAGGACTATAAGGACCTTCGGAACCAGGACGCGCAATTTCCTAAACACCCCCTTTTCCTCCCTGCCCACTTCCAGGACGAAGAAGGATGGAAGGAGTATGTCGGGAAATCGTCAATGCGGCGTGGAAAAATGCCGCGATGACCCTCGATTTCGGGCATTATCCTTATTGTCCTTGACAATGGTCGTCGGTTCCCCTCCCTGGGAGATTTTTCGGGATTCGAGGGAGTCCCGGAGGAACGGCCAGGAACACCGTAACAATGGCCGCGCCTCCTGTTCCGGTGATCGGCCCTCGGCCAAAGGAAGCCGAAAGGACGAAAAAGGAGTCCTCGAGAAAAAGGATAAATTCCCGCCCGGGCGGCTTTGTCCCCGGATACGGGGACGGATTAAAAAGTGGGCCGCATGATGGAACTATGTCGGAAGAGAGGGACGGGAGGATACGAAAGAAAAATGATAAAAAAAAGAAACGGACGAGCAATAAATAGACGAGACGAGAGCCTCGACTCGCGCGGGGGCGTTGCAGTTGACAGGATCGACACATTCGACGAGCCTTCGGTATCGTCCTGATCCTTTTTCCTCTCACGCGTGTAGAAATAAACGAATCCTTCGGCCGGACGGTCCCCTAGGAGACGCGGATTTATTTTACCTATTTTATCTATTACATTAATTGTATCCATCCGATCCCGGCGCGTCCTGAGGACGAGGAGGTCCTGCAAGAATTCTGAACATCGCATCCTATCGAATTTTCCTGGGGGATGAATTATTCCTCTTTTTTTTTCTAATTTTATTTCGGGGGAAGGATTATAGCTTGTATCTGGAAAGGGGGATTTTCAGGATCTAAGGATGATCATCCGTTCCCCCAGGTGAAAGGGGACAAAGGAGACGACGGACCAGGAGGACAACCGGGCAGGGACGGGCAGCGAGGTCCTCCAGGACCCCCTGGCCCCCCTGGACCACCTTCCCAGGGGAGCTATATCCCCGTTCCAGGACCGCCTGGACCTCCAGGACCTCCAGGCGTAGCCGGGGACTCCTTGATCGGGCAAAAGGGAGAGCCAGGACTAGGACGTAGCCACGTATACGGGGAAAGAGAGTACTACGGAGTGAGACAAGGTTTGCGCTCTTTCCCGATTTTCCAAAAATTCCCGGGAGCACCCAGACGGTATCCAGGATCCGTAATGATCCTTTCCGTTCCTTTGCACGCCGCGAAAAAGGACCAAGAGCAGGCTTCGACGATATCAAGTTCTTTCTGGAGATGAAGCAGCTGAAGGAGCGCAAGGACCAACTCGGTAAAGTATCGGCGAGAATTCCGGTGAATTCTGAAAAATCGCCGAAAAAAAAAAATTCCCGAAAAAATGGCCAGGACTCTCGCGACCCAATACTCGGGAATTTCAGGAAAGGTCCTGCCCTGAATAACAGGTGAAAAATACCTTTGTCTCAGGTGCCGGCACAATGGCGACCAGAGGACCTCTCGAGAGCACGACGAAAATCGTACCCGGCGCCGTGACGTTCCAAAACACGGAAGCGATGATCAAGGTGTCCCATAATACGACCAACGAGCCTAGAAAAGGTCCTCCATAGCCGCAGGTATTAATTGATAATTAATAAATGAATTTCAGATGTCGGGCGTGAGCCCAGTGGGCACTCTCGCGTACATAATCGACGAAGAGGCCCTGCTCGTCAGGGTGAACAACGGCTGGCAGTATATCGCGGTAAGTAGCCGTGGGAAAAATCTGAAAAAATTCAAGTACCACCGGGGATCCTTCCGGAAGGTGCTCTAATTTTTGCCGAATTTTCCCAACACTCCTAGATGGGCTCCGTCCTGCCGATCACGACGCCGGCGCCGCCGACGACGGCTCCCCCGCCAGCGAATCCGCCCTTCGAGGCATCGAACCTCATCAATCAAATCCCGATCAAGGCCGACGGCACCGGGGTAATTTCCCACATACAAATTGCCCTTCCTCCCTCTAACTACCCCGGAATTTTTCTCAGCCCCCTAAACCAAGAAAGAGGAATCACTCCTGTCGGAAGAAAATGATTTCACGGGAATAACTTTCATTAACACGAAATACCAGAGTTACGATACAAATTGCGCGCAATTGCCCTAAAAAAAAAATACCTATTTGCCACTCACAGGAAGAACACAATTGCGACGAACAATAGTCAGAGTACTCTATTCCGTTTAATACAGAAATTAAATTTCTTTTTTTACACGATTTAGATTTTTTTCATTATATAAAAGATAAGCATTCGATCAAAGTGCTCGGAGTATTTTTTTTTTTACTCACGTTTCCTCGATTTCCCGCCAGTTTCCCTAACATCGTTCAAGGTAATCATTTTCTTTCGAGGAGGAAATTTGTTCTCGGTGGTTATCAACGGTTTCCGGATTTTATCCGATATTCGCCCCTGCCCTCTGTGAATTGATTCCCTAATCGAGTGTTTCCTTTTCGCACGCCGCAAAGTGGTACCCGAGAATGGTGAGGGCAATCAGAAAAAAAAAAAAGAAAAAAAGAAAATTAACTCGCGGGGGGTCTCCTGAAGGAGATTCAGGATCGTTTAAAGGGCCGTTCTGTGCGTTTCAGCTGCGAATGGCCGCGTTAAACGAGCCATTTACCGGGGATATGCACGGCGTTAGGGGTGCAGATTACGCCTGTTATCGACAGGCGAAACGAGCAGGTCTCAGGGGGACATTCCGCGCTTTCCTGAGCTCCAGGGTGCAAAACGTCGACAGCATCGTCAGGCTAGGTGACCGGGACCTACCGATCGTCAACATAAAGGTGAGTGAAAAAATCCAAAACCGGATTAAAAAAATTAATATAAATAACCCGACTCCTAAGAAACGTACCAAAGACACGGTTCATTGATTCAAGAAATCCCATTATTTTCCCTGGATTAATTATACTCTCTGAATGAAGAAAATGTATCGAGTGAGATTTCCTACCGTGTGATAAGAGAAAAATGAAAGAAGCGATCAAAGTAAATGGGACGATAAGAAATAAAAATCCCCTTCCAGGGCGACGTTCTCTTCAACTCCTGGAAGGAGATGTTCAACGGGAACGGCGCCTACTTCTCCCAGAATCCTAGGATCTACAGCTTCAACGGGAAGAACATCCTGACCGACTTTGCCTGGTACGTCAATTTACGGAATAATGAGAGATATTTAATTTCCATACGGCTGGTTACTCGATAAACGACCGTACTCTGTATGAATCAAGTTTTCGGATTATTGCAATTTTAACTCGCCGCAAGTTCGTCGGTGATTTTTTTTTCTGGAGGTAATTGTATACCTGATAATAAAATCACCGGGAAAACTGATTAATATCGTCTGAGAGTACGTCAGTAATTAATAAAAGGGGTTCGGTGCGTTGGAGGGGAGTACGTTTCCGAAACTGCTCAGATATACCGGGGAATCACGTGCGGAATAAAATGAAAAAAGGAACGAGTGGCGATAAATTGCGGTAATTGTTGTACAATTTCAGGCCAGAGAAGGTGGCTTGGCATGGTTCCCATAAACTGGGAGATAGAGCTATGGACACATATTGCGATGCCTGGCACTCGAGCAGTTCCGATCGCTACGGATTGGGATCGCCTCTGACAGGAGGTCGACTCCTAGAGCAGGTCCGGTACTCGTGCGACAACAAGTTCGCCCTACTCTGCATAGAAGTGACCAGCGAGATCGCGAGGAGACGACGAGACCTCAGGACCCCCGGGGAAGAGGAGCCGGAGTTCTCGGAGGACGACTACGAGGAGCACCTCGTGAGCCTCATGAGGAACTGAGGGGAGAAGAACCCCGAGCATCGAGAAATCGAGGCGCCTCCACCCTCGTCTACAAAGCCCGGACCCCCCCAGAAACCCGGGTTGAATTGATAAAACCGAGAGAAAGCGAAAAAATTACCGAACAAGATAAAGCAAAATTCGGGAGGTCCATCGAGCACGTATCGGCGAGGGAGGCGCGTCGATTGTCGCGGCTTAACCCCTGGTTTTCCGGATCAACCGACGGAGCTGGGGGGAAATGCTTCCCGAGACAGTTGTCCGGGATAGTGTCGGGAAGAGATCTCGTCCGAGGCGTTTTTCGATACGACGGACGGTTTGGCCGTGAGTTCGGGTTTTCGCGGTAGGACGCGCCGACTCGTCCCGGAGCGGCCCTCTCTGGGAAGGACAGACGCTTTCTTCGACTCCTGGGGCTCGATGCGAGGACTCCCCGGTTTCGTATCTCCCGGAAAGACTGAGGAACTCGAGACACGTCGTTTAACATCGAGGCACCCTACGGGTTTTTCTATCGAGCGATGACATTATCGATCATTCGTACTGACTGGCGATAATACCGATGCACATCGACACGTAGAGACGTAGGCGCGGATCACAGAGACGACTTCTTAGGATGCTTCTCCGTAACGTCCCGCAGGAACTGAAAACAAAAAAATTAATAAATAAATAAAACTCATCCACAGTCGTCTCTGGACTCCGAGGATAACTTCGCGTCCGAGAGTTCGTTTTTAAGTGTTCCCCGCATCACGGTAAACGTCCAATACTTTTTAGCCATTACTCGTAGAAAGAGAAGAGAGGAGGAGAAGAGCTCGTTAAAGTCCCTAGCGTATCACTATTTAGGGTCCCTAGGAATATCACTCTGTTACCGAGCAGTCCGCCGACGTTTTTCGCGAGTTCCTTCGCGAGTAAATAAACAAATAAATAAATAAAACAAAAAAATACAAGTAGATACGAGCAAGACGTCGCATCCTTCCGGCCGAGCGAGAGTCAGGAAATTTGCAAATTGGACCTCGTAAGCAGTGTACATTCGATTCCCCTCTTTACATGGCCCTTCGGTTCATTTTTATCTCCCCATAAAGTAAGCTCGCAAAAATGCCCCCTTCGATTTGCAGGATATGCGTATAACGATTACTCCGTAATGTAAAGGGAAGGAGAAAAAAAAAAAAAAGAAAATATGTAACAAGGTTCTGTTAAAACCAAAAGAGGTGTATAGAAATCCTGAGCCACCGAACGAGGTCGGTGTTATCGAGATGTCGAATCTTCTCCTGGGATTTTCATTTCGACGCGTTGATAAGAGATTTTCAATACCCTCCGATAACACTGCTCGCAAGCCCTATCCTTTAATGAGATGTGAAACTGGAAGAGTACGTCGTTCATGAAGCTTTTTTCCCACCTTGATGTACCAAATCGATGCAAACCTTGCAATATAAACATGGAGGGTACAAGGAAGATCCCGAAACCCATGCGATTTGTATTTCAAACATTTTTTTACGGATATTTAAAATATTTGTTATAAAAAAAATGGATCCTCACGAGTGTCAGGACCTTCCTTAGAGCCTCTCCATTGACGTTGTAAAGTTTGAGCCGATTCGGTGCACCCAGCTTGGAGAAAAGTAGCACAAACGAGAACTCTTTGAGGGCACTCTCGCACCCCCTTAATCTCAGCGTAGACGTAATAGAACCATTACCCGTAATCTCGCGAGTACACCGAGGCATCGAGTTCATTACCTAAAAGGTGTAAAGGGTGAACACCAATTTCATTCCCCTTTCCTTTTGCTCGTAGTCGGTCGATCGCCGTCGAGATCGACGTCGATCGGCGAGAATACCGACCCCCTTAATGGTCGCTCTACTCTTCCGTCTAATACGAGCACAAGGAGATGCGTAAAAAGTCGAATCTAAGTCAGTGTCTGTAAACGTGAACGGAAAGAGAAGAAGAAAAAAACAAAAAAAAAACAAATCAAGAATGTTAACCGATAAAGCTAGAGTTTATTTATTGCAATTAAACATAGCGACAAAGGGGAGCCTTAGGGCGATCCTTTGGCAGGCTTGTTAGCAAAAGGACCTCATTGTTTCGAGGACTCGATAAAAAAGACCGCGTGTAAGGAGGAAATTGCTCGCGACATGTGCAACTGAATTGTCCTTAGAGTATGTTTTGCCCACGAGTCATGCTCGTTTGGTTCCGATGCTTCTCTTCCTTTTGTATCATTTGTACGTTTTATTATTGTCTTTCTAAATAAAATGGGGAAAAAATAAAAGGATGCATGTCGCCATTGGAGGAGTCTCCCATTAATGACGATAACGAGTGGCTTTTTACATATCACGAAGATAGGAAAATGATCGTTGCAATGGCTATCAGCCGGTAAATACATTGAAAAGCATGTGGGAATAAATAAATGTTAATAACGGTCGTGAATAAAATTGTGGAGAAAAGGGAAGAAAGGTGGCTTAAGGATAATTCAAGAACCAACGACTTCTCGCCTCTGGCACCGAATTCTTTACTGGCGCCTTAAACTTCCGTTTTCAAGTTTTCTACAAAATCGTGTCTCAGATAACTAGAGGACCTCTCACCTTTTGTTCCTGGCAAAACTCAGGACTTCAAGACCGCGAGGGCATTGGTACAATTTAAGCCCTCGAGAATATAGGCCAAGTTCTCCATGGACGCGTCTTCGTCCTCCTCGGCCCAGATCTCTAACATGGTCTTACATTGTTCAAACGGCGTCGGTTTACTTTGGAAGAAGATAATCTGAGGGGGAAATTAAGGGAGGTGATGAGACCTTGTTCGAATACGAGCTTATAAATGATCTACCTCGTCGTTGGTGTAGCCGAGCTTGGCTGCCAGCTTTTTCCAGTCATCCTTAAGGGCCTCCGACAGCTTCGCTACCATCTCAGAATTGACTTTGTTGAACTTCGTGTTCTTCGTTTCAGAGCTCTCGGTGTCAGTCTGTTCCGTTTCCTGCTTAAGCATGTCTTCGTTGTACTCCTGATCGTTAACATCAGGTGGAAGTGTCTCCTCGGAGTCCTTTTGCATGTCTGACTGCGTTTGCTAATGTGAGATTTCACGAGTCACTTAATTTCTCTTGATCATTTACTGAGAATTTCTTATTAAAAAAAAATATATATATCTACCGGTCGGTCTTTGGCAATTTTCTTGATCATGGATTCCAAGTACTCCGGCAGTTTGTTGATTGAATAATTCCCATGGACGAAAAAGTGTGGACTGCGGCGAACGAGCAGTCGTAAAGCTCGCCAGCCGAAGTTGCCGTCGTTTATTTTTCTAGGTTAAGACGTACGTTGATAATGATTAAGTTAAATGGATTGATTAGGTTATAGAAATTATATAAGTTAAGCGAGAGCTCACTTATACTCGTCCTCGACCATTGCGGATGGATCTAGCTCTGCGATGGCTTCTTCGAAGTAGGTCTCCAACGATGGCAAGAAGTCTCGCTCTTTGGACTTACAAGCTTCGAGGTTGTTCGGGCAGAGGTTCCATAACTTTGTTAATTCAGGACTGCCGTTAAGTTATTCGTGTTATCAGTAATATATAGACAGTTTGAGAGAGGGAGTGCATTCGAGTCTACTCACTTCCCCATGTGGTATTTGCCAACAGCCTGCGCATCCTTGATGACATCTCCGATCCTTCGCCTGGGTCTCTTAGGTTTTCTTGGCTCGTCGCCTTCGTTACCAGACTCGAGTTGAGGTTTTTTAAATGGTGGACAGCCCTCATTTTTCCAGGCGTTCCAGTGTTCTTCTCTTCTTAAGATATTTTTCACTGTCTCGGCAAACGAAGACCCATCCGGAGGCGTTTCAGCAAGCAGGGCGTAGATCTGATCAGTGGTACTTTTAACCCACTCTACTTGGTCAGGCTTTAGCTCATGAGTCTCTCTAAAATTACAATCCTATCTTACTACTTATTCGTTAAAATGGATAACGAGGAAAAGTATTCTGCCCTTACGCTTTAAACTTGACCGTGCTATTCAAATACTGGAACAAAATTAGGAACTGCAGCAAGACGTAGCGTCTAAAATTTGAATCCGAGAGCTGCAGCTCTAAGAGTTTCTGATTCGTTAGATACTTGGCGAAGTAATGTGTTTCTTTGTGCGATCCTTCGCCATCGGATTTAATAGTTGCAGGTGGTCCACTGCGTTGCTCCTCTAATTTAAAGGATGAGAACGCTGACAAGACGTTAGAAGCATGCTGCATTTGAACAGAAGCAGTAAACGTACGATTAAAAACTCCCTGTAATTTCTAACGTGAACATATGATTCTAGTACAGTGAAACAACGTACCGCTGAAAATATCTTCCAGTGCATTTTGTTGTAGCACTGATTAGGGTTTCTAAAGAAATCTTGAAGTGCCCAGAACTTCCTATATAGGTTATAATCGATAGGCAGCTTGCTTTCCGTCTTGTCACCCTCTTCGGTAGCCTGTTCCATAGGCTCGTCTTCGGAATTTTCCGTGCCAAACTCCGTGTGATTCTCCAAGTTAAATTCGCTGACGATATTCAAGCCAGATCGCTCAGAAAATGGGAAAAACTTGGCGAGGAACAATAAAATCCTTCCGCAGAACACAGTCTGCTGGGAACGCGAGAGTCTCCTCAACAGATCGTTGCACATTCTCAGTAGATTATTCTTGCACGCACTGAAGAACATGTCTTCTTTCCACACTACGACATTATTCTCCACGAATGTAAACAGCTGCTCACAGCAATCCAGCGTCATTGCGTCGAATATATCCCCGAGTAACATTACAGGCATACTCGTTGTCGACAAGTCTCGTCGGCAGAGTTCAATACAAAATGTGATATACGATTCAAAGACCTGGACATTACCGGTCGCATGATTGGCCAGGATCACCAGGAGCGTGTCACGCAGAGCTTGGTCTACGATGGCCCGTCTGTCCACGTCGCTGACGTTTAGATCTAAACACTTTTTCTGGAACGCTGACACGTCCGACGCCTTAAAATGCTTTTGCAATACCTCCTAGAAATATTATTAACATAAACTATATAACTGCAACGAATATTACCCGCTCAATAAATAGAATATAAAATTAATACTCGACTCACACTGTATTCCTTCCTCAGGCCCTCAAACAAAGCCATCTCGTAATATTTCAACAAAGCTTCCTAACCTCAATAAGTACAAAAACCTACCCAACTTTGCCAGCAAGGGAGGTGTGTGCTCCCCTAGAATCAGAGAGAATATTAATTACTCCACCCTAGGTAAGAAGTTAATTATCCCTATAAAAACAGTACCGTTCTCATTGTTTAATTAAATCCAACGAAATGTCCTCCTTTGCCGAAGTTTTCATAAACGTACAAACGTCGATAACTTCCCACTAGGGCATTTGAGGTTAAAATCGCCCGCGAGTAAAAGAAATCCCCTCTAAGAGAAAGTAGCAAGTAAATGATTTTATAAAATTCCTACACGACACGTGAATTCATTATTGATCTACTTACATTTAAATATACATTATTATATTATCAATCCAGGATTTGGCGCCTGAACTTGACTAATGAGGTATTAAGTCCGAGCGCGTAATTTAAATTCAAATTATTCGGCCACATCGGGCAGCATAGAAGTTAATAAAATAATTCAGTGAATTCTAACAGCGGTAACAATAGGCCTGAAATTTAATATCATCGGAAAACATTCCGAAAGCTTGGCAAAGAAGGTGAGAAACCGTTGCTTTACTTCGGATATTGTAGTTTTATCACCGCAATGGTAAAAGATGTTTGTTATCACTCGTTCGTTCTACATCATCCGCTGCGAGCTGCTTATCACTTCGGCTTTTTTTCTTTATCGACGGAGCGCCACGTGGAATAGAAAACTCGCGCTATCTTGAATCGTCAGCCGATAATGTAGCATCACTTCGTCACATCACGTTGGTAAAACGTTTCTACCCGTGTTAATGGAAACGATAAGTGAAACATCGTGTAGCTGCAGTCGCTTTCTCGTAATCACTCATTCGGGTACCGAGGACATCCGCGGCAGGAAATGCGCTTGCATGGAATTAAAATTCATGACCTCGCTCCAAGGGCCATTGTTCCTTGTTTCTATCTCTAAATACTCGTACCGAGACTCATTGTTCCCATTGAAATTCATTTTTTCCAGCAGAAATCTCGTTACGAGTTCTGAAAATCCAGATTCCGAGCGCGTCTCTGCATTGAGAAAAAAAAAAAAAAAAAATACCACGGAACCAAAAAACTATTTCGTTAATTCCAACAATAATTATTTTATTCTAATTGTCATAATTCCGTATAAACGTTGCGTTCAATTTGTTTGAGTTCATTCGAGCGAAATAATTGTTTCTTGAATTAAGAAAATATTTCTTTGGTCGAATGACGTTTCCTTCTCGGTTGAATTTTCCCTTGCGGTAGGAAAACATCGGAAGGACATTGACATTGACATATCAAAAGAGAGAAGAAAAAGAGTAGATCATTCGTGCCGAATTTCGTGTCACTTATTATTCTCCATGTTACCCAAAATCGGGGAAAACTCTTTTCGCTCGATTTCCAGTCCTTGACTCGCGGCCGCCATTTTGGAGAACGTTACGTCCTCGGTCCTCGAAGATCAACCTCGGGAGAATTAACCTGAAATAATGATAATTCGGAAGGACGAAACCGTAAAGACTTGGCGATAATTTCGTTGGTTCTTTTCGCGAGTTTCGAGCGAAAGCCATGTTGGATGTCGACTGATCGAATAATGGATTTCCTCGAGCCAGGAGTCCGGTGGCTTGAGGAGGCTTTCGGTCTTGTCCAGGAGTACATCAGGACCTCCACGAAAGGACTATCTAGAAGCGACGTGACCAGTTTCATCCACCGGGAACCACCTTCTCCACCAACCCCGAAGAGCACCTTCGAAGTCCCGGAAATGGTCCGCAAGTCGGCCGTCGTCCTGGCCGCAGGAGTCATAGCTTCGGAGCTCTTATGGCAGCTGTACAAAAGGTTCACAAGACGAAAATCAGAGGACTCATTGCTTGTCCGACACGACCGGGAGAAAATCATCGCCGAGGTGCTCTTCTTCTCGGAGGAGTCTTCTCTATGTCGACTACATGCAGCCCAAGGGACTCCGTGTCCTCGACGGATCTGTTCCCTGGCGAACGTGCGGTACGATTCCGCTTTAAATTTAATTCCCCTCGTTGTCTCGCTCAAAATTCAGGCAGGTATTTTTTCGTAGCTTCGTTTCATATCTCTCTAGTCGTGGGATTTTTAATAATTCGGTACCAGAGTCGGAATATAGAATATGAATTTCATTAACGGAGGATTACAGATTCCCGAAAATAGGCTCGCGGTTTCCTTGAAAAATCCCCGCCTCTTGGCACTGCTGTTCGTAGAGCCTTGTTAACAATTTCTCAATTTTGACAGGAAGATCATGTCGCACCTGAAATCCGCAATGAAGAGCCTCGACGTGTGTATGTACATGCTGACCCATCAGGACCTCTCGAAATGCATCGTGGATGCACTAGGTCGGCGTGTCGTCGTGAGGGTCATCGTGGACGCGACAATGGCGGAAAATCAGGCCAGCCAAGTGCTTCTGTTAAGGAGAGCCGGTACTAGTGCAATTGTGGTTTCTTTTAGTCCCGGGAATAATTTGAAAGGATAATTGTCCCTATGAAGAGGGAGGTAGGGGGGTAAAGAAAAACAGTGGAGGACCGAGGAATTTTTTATCGTCATTATTTCAGTCGGGAGGAATTGACAAAGAATTGCAACTTTTCAAGATGTCAATGGAGAAGGGGTTTACAACAAAAATTGGAGACTTTGTTTAAGCGAAATGGGGGTTAACAAAAAATTGGAGATGTCGAGGACATGTATAATTTTCAGGAGTCCGCGTGCGAACGAAGCAGTCCGAGTTCCTGATGCACCACAAATTCGCCCTGATAGACGGACGTATCCTGATAACCGGGAGCACGAACTGGACCTCGCAGGCAGTCTTCGGGAACTTCGACAACGTCCTCGTGACAAATCGGCGGGAGTTCGTCAGTCCTTTCGCGGAGGAGTTCGACAGGATGTGGAATATCCTGGACTCGGAGCCTGATAAGATCCCGGAGAATCTCCTTATCTAGAGATGCTTTAACCCCTGACCACCCTGAAGAGACTCCGCGACGTGATCCGCAACGGGTTGAAATACAGCGATCTTGTTACTTCTTTTTTTTTTCTCTCTCTTATCGGTGCACTTTTATATCAATTAGCCTCCTCAACCGAGGAATCCGAGTCTTGCGGAGAATTACGTAAATGGGGGATGACGAGGAGGGTCGTTTTCGGGGATCTCGATGACACCGACGTCTTCGAGGGGTTACTAAGGGTCGTGGAGTACTCTAGCGTCCCTCGCAACGGGTTGCCATGGTGATTATGACGCCACTGGCTCCCTTGGTTTTCCGAGTCTCCCCTTTTGTCCCTCCTTTTCCTTCGCCCTTTTCCCTACGTCGCGCCCTGGAGAGCGCTAATCGATCCGCGAGATCCCGTCGACCTCGTCCCTCCTGTGTGTGACCCTTGGGGAGATTACCCTCCACCTAGCCGAGGGTCGGGCGATCGTCCGACAAGCCCCTCGTAATCGCGCCGACGTTCACGTCGTTCCACCCTAAGGGTACGTCGGTGACTTGCGTCATGGCTTCCTCCACTATTTAAGGGGGGTATCGTGATAAGGGACCGCGTGAACGGGACATGTCAAGGGGCATCTTTTTTATCCGACAAGGGCTGGACGTGACGACACTCGGAATGTGCTTTTTTTCCCTCATTTTTCATCATTTCTGCCGACGTCCCCTCTTAGGGGTGAAACCAACGACGTCACGATTAATGCGCCACGTGTGATCGTGACGCCTATTTTTTTTTCTTCGTTATCAGTCATTGCCCATTATCAACGTCCATTCCTGTTCCATGGGGTGTACTTTAAAATCGGACTGTATGAACAGGACATGTCAAGTGTCATTTTTTTTTTCATTTGACGAGGGCCGCTCGCGATACGTTCATTTTTCTCTCGTCGTCATTGCGACATTCTCTCTTCAGGGTGCAACCGATGACGTCGTTATCAGGGATCATGACACATGTCATGTTCAATGTTGAGTACCTGCATATAGCAATATATATGTATATACTTAAAAAAGGGACCGAATGGGGCACATTGCAACCGATGACGTCAATATGTCAGGCACGGTGCAACCGATGACGTCAATATGTCAGGCACGGTGTAACCGATAACGTCATTACGTCGTCGTTATCAGGGATCATGACACATGTCATGTCCAATGTTGAGTATCTTCATATAGCAATATATATGTATATACTTAAAAAAGGGACCGAATGGGGCACGTCGCGTGTCACTTTTTTCCCCTTCCGTGACGAGGGCAGGTCGTGACGTCACGATTCGCCATTTACCTCCGTCTGGCAGGAACGACCCGGTCACCTATCGGGGACAGGCCTTGCCCTTTTGCCAGGTTGCGTCGACCTCGACCCCGAGCGGGGCCACCGGGTGACGTCGTCGTCCCGACGTCCTCTCTTAGGGGCGCAACCGGTGACGTCACGGCCAAGATGGCGGACGCGTCAGGGGCGATTTCAAAGTCGATACTCTGCCGTCTCCCTGGAATACATCTCGCGAAAGGTTACACCCCTCCTTTCCGAGCTCCATCGACCCCTCGAGACTCTTTCTCTCGGATGCGCCTCCGTGGGCGTAAACTAGATCAATAAAACGAGAAAAAGAAAAAAGGAAATAGAAGTATCGATATCCGCCTGGCTAAAACTCGCCGATTAAATGAATAAATTCTTCCCAGGGTGTAAATCAGGCATCTCACCTGGGAAATGTTTCTCACGGTGGGCGGAAGCTGGATTGATAACACAAAAATGTATTCGATAGCTGCCCATTTGTTTCCAAAGCCGTAAAAAAATAAAATCTTGAACATGGCCATTTTGACGTTTCCTAGGTTGTGGGGGGTTTTGAATTTTTTCACGGTTTGTTATCATTCCAATCGGTTTAAAAAAATTATCTAGGGTAATACGACCCACGGTTTAGTTGTAGGAATTAATTGAAGGTACTGCTGGAATCGGAAAGGAGTGATAAATATTATTTCATTGTGTAAAGTGGTCGTATCAGCTTAAGCGACGCCATCTCGAGCCACCGCGAGTCGGGCGGCCGTCGAGTCTCGCGGCTTGGTTAACATTCGTCGAGTAAATAATTAAATTGTTCCCAGGGTGTAAATCGTGCCGATGGCCTGTGATTTACCACGGCTCTCGCAACTAGCTCCTGGGAAAGATTTCTCGAAATATCGAAGTGGCGCCCATAAGCGCACAGAGGGTACCGGAATAGACGTTCTTGACATTGCTCGGTGCTCCTTTGCCGCCGACGTCCCTGGCCCGAGTTGTTCTCGTCGATCCCACGGAAATTCTTGTTTTCCAAATATTTTCCGACATTACGTAGACATTAATGTCTACCTTGAAATGTTGGAAACCTTGTGCGGATATGACGTGGATAGAGGCGTGATAACATTATCGTAGCGCTTTGAGGACCTCTTAAGCAGCTGATGCGACACGTCGCGATCAGCTGATCCGCCGCGATGTATATTCCTTTATTTATCTTATTGCAGAGATGAAATTACGTGGATATTAATGTCTCCCTCGAAATTTTGGAAACCTTGTGCGGATATAACACGGATAGAGGCGTGATAACGTAATCGTAACTCTTCGAGGACCTCTTAAGCAGCTGATGCCACACGTCGCGATCAGCTGATCGCCGCGATATATATTATTTTTTTGTCTTATTGCAGAGATGAAATGACGTGGATATTAATGTCTCCCTCGAAATTTTGGAAATCTTGTGCGGATATAACGCGGATAGAGTCGTGATAACGTAATCGTAGCTCTTCGAGGATCTCTTAAGCAGGTGCGACACGTCGCGAGCAGCTGATTCGCCGTTTGATCCGACCGGTGGTCCCTATCGATCACGTAGTATTTTTAGCCCGGCATCCCGTCTCGCCCCCGCGTCGTCAAAAATGAGCCCTCGTCGGAAATAGCCCGTGGCTCGTTTCATCCCCTCGACGGGGAGAAGAGGTCCTGCGGCGAGGACGAGGGCCTTAATTTGCCGCGTCTGGCTCTTACCGGAGGAGACGAGCCTTGCAAATCGCCGCCAGAAGCCTCGGCGTACGTGACCAGCGAAACTAGGGGGGGTCTGCAGGCCAAACGGCTCGTTTCTCGGGAAAAACCTCGAAACAGAAGTTCTTCCTCCGGATACCAGGAAGAACTTTCTCACGAGGCGTTTCTTCATACGACGAGGCGGTAACCGGGAAATCGCCCATTTTCCGAGAGGCCGACCGCGAAAGATGGGCTCAGGTGACGAAACGCCGTCGTTCCGAAAACCTCGAAAGCCGATTATATTGCGGTTCCTGCTACGCGGAGCGTGCGTCATAGGGCCTGGCCTCTTTTATTTTACGCTCCTTTTTTTTCTTTTTTTTTTCTGTAATGCCGAGGGGTAAAAATATTAACAAAGGCCGAGGTGCATTCGTCGCCCATTCGTCTGGTCGTCGTGTGGATTCCGGCCGGGTGCTTCGCTAGGACCGAGGTCGCACCTCCACTCTGGGTTCGATGTATAAGCCGTGGTTTAATTCTGTAGGATTATATTGGTTCGGTATCGGCGAATCTGGGACACCGACCCGCTAAAATATGTCACCTGTCGGCGACATGCCCGAGCATAGGTGACCGCTCGACAAGGCCCTGCCAAAAATCCCGCCTTGGATGACGATGGGATTACCGAATAATTAAATGTACCAATCGACTTTAAGGTGATGTGAAACACCCCGAGGAACTTGATCGACGTCGGTAAAGGAGATCTTCCTTAATACCTATCGCTTTTATATTTACACTCCACCTGTCTACGTACAATAATTGTAAAGAAGTTCTTACTTAACCCTTAAAAAAAAATGTCTTATTCAAATCAGGTTTGAGGAGGAGGTTTCACTTCACCTTAAGGCGGTGTGGAAGTGCCCTCAAAGGTTCTCTTATCAAACTCTATCGAACTGGATGTACCGAATCGTTTGTCAACTTCAAACCGTGAACATGGAGGCTGAAAGGAAGGTCTTTGAATTTTATAAAAATTTCTTTACGGACATTTGAGGAACTTTTGGTGGGAAACTTGAAATTTCCAGGGTGTCGGGACCTTCCTTATAGCTTCCACATTTATGTGTCGAAGTTTAAGTAGACTCGGTGCACCCAATTCGGAGGAAAGTTACCATCTCCTTAATCGAGATGTCTCTAAGTCGCGATTCGGTGTGTTATCTGTCCATGGACTTGCAAGCGAGTTCTCTGAGAACGCGGAAATCCGGGAAAACTTGGACTCTCGGTGTTATTAACACCAGGCGCAGTTTCCGGGAAGATGAGCTCCCCATCTCGCGGCTCTTTTTACGACTCCCTCGGGAGACGACTTGTCTGGAGGTGGCGAGGTGAGAATCCGGCAATATTAATAACCCACCGGGGACGATTACGAGGAAGGCGATGCTCGAACCAGCTAAGCTTTTTTATTCAACGGAGAGGGATTTATGGAGTCGCCGGAAAAGCGTGTCAGGGCTTTGGAAAACTCGAGGTGGAGCTTCCGAATGAGGCACTGATCAAAAATCGACGAGAATTGGCATAAATCTGTGGACGTCATTTTTTTCCGAATTTAATGTAACGTCACGCTGTAATCTTCTTTAATTTCATTCGGATGCTGAGATTGATGTTAAGGAGGTAACGTAATTTTTTGGGAATTTATCGTAATTAATTAATGACTGCGGAAATTTATCGTAATTAATTAATGACTGCGGGAATTTATCATAATTAATTAATGACTGCGGAAATTTATCGCAAATAATTAATGACTGCGGGAATTTATCGTAATTAATTAATGACTGCGGGAATTTATCGTAATTAATTAATGACTGCGGGAATTTATCGTAATTAATTAATGACTGCCGGAATTTATCGCAATTAATTAATGACTGCGTGAATTTATGGGGGAATTTTTATCAGCGGCTCGATAAGTTAGGGAATAATCGGGGGATTGGATTCTAGTTTGCTTCTTTCAATCGGGGTGAACGACCTTTTAGAGCGACTCCTTATGGACCCTGGTCTCCATACTTTCGGCCCGGACGAGGAGCTGGTGGGCTTTGACGTCAGAGGAATAAAGCAACGTCGTAAAACCGGAGCAGCCGCCTTAGAAATACTCCAAGTGCATCGCGCGGTTAAATATTGCAGCTTAAACCGATGCCCCGGGGATTTGCGTGCAATTGGGGCATTGTCCCTTAGACCGGGTACCATTTCGACGGGGGAATAATTTCCGGGTCCACGTAACTTAATTTCTCCACCGAATTAAAGGAATAGAATATTTTTACCTAGGTCACGGTTCTCGGTTTATTTCCTTCGTGTGGATGAAATCGCGGTACCAAAATGGCCGATTGTATATATTTTTCTAATGGGTAGAGTGGCGGTACCAAAATGGCCGATTGTATATATTTTTCTAATGGGTAGAGTGGCGGTACCAAAATGGCCGACGAGAAAACTTGGGCCGTACCCTTTAACAGTCTTTTTCTTTTACCATGGGTAAAATCGCGGTACCAAAATGGCCGATTGCATATATTTTTCTAATGGGTGAAACCGCGGTACCAAAATGGCCGACGAGAAAACCGGAGACGTTCCCTTTTACAGTTCCTTTTCTTTTCCCCCACGGGGTAGAATCGCGGTACCAAAATCCTGGGGACGGAATTTCCTCCGTATTTTCTCCGTAGGAGAGAAAATCCCGGTACCAAAGTGCAAGAGAGACTGTTTTTAATCCGGCAGAAATCTTGATACCAAAATGGCAGCCGGCTCGCCGAGACGGCGAAATTTCGGGGGCCGGTGGTTTATGGCCGCGTTATTTTTCGCCTCACCACCACCGATATCTCGCCAGCCACGAGGTAACGTAGCCAATGTCACCCAGATGAAATCACGAGAAAACCGGTGTCGGCCAGAACGAACCGGCCATGCGGAGGAAACGCGGAGGTCTTGCGGCGTCCCTCGAAAAGAGGGGTCGTTACAAAGAAATACATAAAAATGATTCCCCGCTCCTAGGGAATTTTCACTACGGGCGTAAAATTAATTAATTCAACTTGAAATTATTTCCGCGTTTACATGTGTGCTAAAAGACGTTTACAACCTGGCAGATGCCGTAAACCGTCGATGTGCGTTGTTCTCCATTTTGGAAACTTAATTTACCGATTTTCCAGGATTTCCTCCGGTAAACTGGTTTATTACGTGATATACCGTCAGGAAGCAAGAAATGGGGAATTACCCAAACCTGGTCTGGGGGAAAGCGAGAAAATCTAGGGAAATGCGGCTCTCTCGTTTCGGGCCCGAAATAACCACCGGCGGATCAGGGGCCCCTTAAGCGTTTCTATTTCGACGATTAGATCTATTTCTATCCCCGGGCCGCTTGCGTAATGGCAAAAGGAAGAAGGCGAAAGGGACCGGAGGCGCGTACACGCGACAAATATACGCGGCCACTCCTCAATGTACAATTCCCCCCCCCAGGAAAGCACAGGAACTATATTTGAACAGCTTCCGAGAAGCCTCACCTACATCCACGGTCGTTGGTTGCGATTCCGCCTCCCTTCTGGGGTGCGGCGGTTCCGCGACCCTCGAGGTGCGGCCCCGGTTTCGGGAAGTCACCCTGGACTTGTCCCAGGACGACGGAATTTCATTGAAAGGGTGTACTATTTAATTTTCCATTTCTTCTCATGCCTTTTTCTCTTCCTCTTGTCTATATCTACATTTAAGGGAATTTAAGGGGTTCGCGGAAATTTCAGAGAATTTATGGAAATTTATGAGAACTTATGGGAATTTATGAGAATTTATGGGAATTTATGGAAATTTATGGAAATTTTGAGGGAATTTTAGGAATTGTCGAGACGCCTCGAATTAAACAAAGGGACCACGGACTGTTGGATGTTTTTTAGGCCCTCCTTTCCTCGTAGTGTCGCATACTCGAGCATCCTCTGAAGGGGTACGTGACGTCGGGTGATTTTCCGCCCTCTCGGTTATTTCCGCCGAGGCCAGTTCGCGAAGTGCCCCGGGGGTCGCGAGTGCCAGAAACGAGCCACTCTCCTCGAGAACGCCCGGACTCCCTCCGAGAAAAGGAGACACTTCCTGAAATCGTCCCGAGACTCTCGATCCTCGGGCAAGGCCGTGGACATCTTGACCTTTCCACTAGGTTGGGGAAAATCTCCGTCCTCGTCCTTTCCCCATTTCCCTATTCGGCGAAAAGTCACGCCCTCGCCGTTAGGCCATTAGGGAGGTATCGAGAGAAATCTCACCCTAGGCGAGAAAAGTCCGGAATTTCTCATCCCCCTGTTTCCCGCGAAATGCCCCTAGATTTGGAAAATCCCCAGGAAAGGCCCTAGGCACCCGAAAGCTGCGAAGAATGGCGGACTGCTCCAATTTCACCCCAGCTTCGTGCAATTAAATCCCTGCATTCGCGTGTCCAGCTCGGGGAGGTTTGCACCCTCTGGGGTAAAAAAGGGTTAAGAGCCCCCCCTCGTCCCTCGATTGCCCTCTCTCTTTCTCTTTCCGTCCCTCTCTTCAAGGTTAGTTGGAAAAGTTTGGCGGATAATTGCCGCTGGTTCACGTGGTCTGCACGCCGCGAGATCAGCTGTTTCGCACGTGCGGTGGGCGGTGGGTGGTGGGTGGTGGGTGGTGGGCAATGAAGGGTGGAAATGTCGGGGCAGCTCCGGAACGCTCCAGAGGGTGGCTTTTCGATCCCGGGTATCTAGGTTCCGTTTCCACGGCGACGCCACCCTCTGTCCCCACCCGGGGGCGGGGGTTGGGAGGGGGTAATGGCGAGATCGAATCGCGAAATCGAGAAAAACGAGCCACCCTGGAAGTGATTGCTCCTCCACTCGATTGCTGGACGAATTTTCCGTTTCACGGGTACTTGGGTGACCAGCCACCCGGAAAAGGGGAAATAGTGATGGGAAAAGTCGATTTTGGTCCAGGAATCTCGATCCTTGTAATGCATATCTCGGTTTTGGTTTTGTTAATGCAAAGAGATCAAATTTTGTTTATCTTTAGGTGGAAGGGAGGCAAGAAAATCGAAAGGGTGATCGAAACGAATGCTCCTCCACTCGATTCCTGGAATAATTTTCCGTTTTACGGATATCTGGTTGACCAGCCACCCAGAAAAGTGGAAATGGTGATGGGAAAAGTCGATCGTGGTCCAGGAATTTCGATCTCTGTCTTGCATAATTCGGTTTTGGTCTTGTTAGTGCAAAGACACCAAATTTTGTTTATCTTTAGGTAAAAGAGAGGCAAGAAAATTGAAAGGGTGTTCGAAACGAATGCTCCTCCACTCGATTCCTGGAAGAATTTTCCGTTTTACGGATATCTGGTTGACCAGCCACCCGGAAAAGTGGAAATACTGATGGGAAAAATCGATTTTGGTCCAGGAATTTCGATCTCTGTCTTGCATAATTCGATTTTGGTCTTGATCCTTGCGAAGACCGAAAATTTAGCTCATCTTCAGGCGTAGGGAGGGCAAGGAAACCAAAAGGGCGATCGTAAGCTCCTCCTTAGTTACAATATTAACGTTTATTCCATAGTATATACAAAAACAATGTATATTTCGGGTCCTCCTTCGGGAAATGCGTGTACGCGTGGTCCTCGCAAGCGAGGGGGCAAACTAAGCGAAGAGGAGCCGGCGAGATAGCGCTTCTTTTTTCTTCTTTTTTTTATTATTCTCACGTATACCTTATCCCTCGTTAAAAGAACTTCCTTCTGTAGAAACGTAGAAACCCGTGTACAAGGACGGCCGGCGAGAAGGTGTCGATTAATCGTAGCGAACTTCAATCCGCGCGGTTAAATCGGGCCCAATCATCACGTGCGCGTAAATTAAATGATCATACACCGATTGGCACGGATCAATCGTAGCGAACTTCAATCCGCGCAGTTAAATCGGGCCCAATCATCACGTGCGCGTAAATTAAATGATCATACACCGATTGGCACGGATCAATCGTAACGATTAATCGCGTTTAACCACTGATAATCATCAGGTCGTGGAGCGACGAGCGATTCTCGCAAGTTCGGGGGCGACTTCCGCGCTTTCCTTGGCGGCGGGCCCGCCGCGGCCGAGCCGGCGCGGTTCGGCCGCACGGCTTGGTTCTCTCTCTGGGAACCTGGCCGCGCTTAATTGTAACAACAAACAGCAGGCTCTCCGCGTTTACAGTTGGCCACGGTTGCCAAAGGACCGGCTTCTCGCGAGGTCGCGCCTTTATTTTCGATCCTACATCTATCATTTTCCTTATTTTCCATTCCGCACAGTTTCCGCCGATTTTCCGCCGGGATTTCTCCCGCCCTTTAAATGCCATGGGCCATGAGGCCGCAAAATGGGTCCTCGCGGCGACGCGGAAATTCGGCAGGAAGTCCTGGTAGATCCTGCGGAATTCCTCCTGCTTCCCGAAATCCCGGCCCTGGGGCAGTCCGCAGGATTATTTACAAGGTCCTTAAATAAAAAAAGGAAAAAAAAAAGAAAGGGAATCGCTGCTCTAGATCCAGGCTAAAATTCGGGGATCGGCGACGACGCGTCGCCTTGGACCTCTGCCTCCCGTTTTTCTTTTTTCGGAGGTTCCCCTTCATTTTCACGGGTTTCCTCTGGGAGGGAGGGGGTCGGGAAGGAGGGGAAAATTAATTAAAAAAATAGAAAACAGGATCCTCCGGCTACAAGTCGCAACTGGAGCTCTTCTAATCTCCTAGAGGATTTACGTAAACCGCTACAAGAATATATGCAGGTATTCCGCTCGTTATCATTAATCGGCGACGATTAATCGACGACGATTTTGGGTACGGAGACGTCTCTAGCCTAGCTCGCCGTGGCAGGACCCCCCCCGAAGGTCCTCGTCCTCCGGGATCCTCTTGATCCTTATCCAGGACTCTCCTCGCCGCTTCCCTTCCGGAGGTCGTTCTTGTTCGAAGACTACGTGTAAGGCCTGCGCGCGATAAGCACTCTAGATAGTCCTTTAGTGTTCATGGAAATGTTTATTGTCTCCGTGGACCATGGTCAAACTTATCCCGGACGGCGGACCCCCCCCCGAACCGGGTATGCTACGAGGATAACCCTAGATTTCCTGCACTTCGGGTCGGCGACGAGACAGGAAGGGACCTGGTTCGCCACCGCGTCCTTAAAGCTAAACGCGTCTACGAGGTCATCCTCGAGAAATGCACCACGTCGAGGACGCGGCTCCTTGGGGTCCTGGTTTGGTCGGGGCTTGTGGGGAAAGTCCGGTTTATCGTTCATCAGTAAGTGTTCAAGGATCATCCTCAAGGATCGTCGGTGAACGTCATCCGCAAGGATCGTCCATATGCGTCCATGAACGTCATCCGCAGGGACCATCCGCAGGAATAATCCGCAAGGATCATTCGTTAGCGTCATTCGCAAGGATCATCCATAAGCGACATCCGCCAGAATCGTCCATAAACATCATCCGCAAGGATGTGTGTCCCATTCCCCACCCTCGTCCGGGTCATCGGCACCAGGAATTTGTCCGCGAGCTCAGACCAGGTCCAGTCTGGTGGTCTCCAGGCCGTCGAAGCTGAAGGTCCTGCGCGTCCTGGAGAACCTGAGGCAGGGCTCGCTGGCCGACCTGGCCATCTCTCACATGGCCTCCCCGCTGGCGACGGAGCCGATCAAGCTGGAGTCTCCGATGCTGGAGTCGCACTGCATCACCCACTCCCAGATCCTCTTGGTTACGACCTTCTGGTCGACGGTGGTCTCCAGTCCGTAGCTGTTGAGCAGCTTCCTCAGCTTGTTCTTGTTCTCGTCGACGTGGTTCCGATCGTCCACCAAGGTGTCCAGGTAGAGGAGACTGTCGCCCCTCCTGGCGAGGCTCTCGCTGACGTCGACCGAGGTGGAGGTGGCGCTGTGGCTCAGCTTGGCGACGCACCAGGTGTCCTTCAGGTACTTGTTCACCTCCATGATGCTGGCCCTCTTCTCGGGCTTGTGCTCGAAGACCCTCCGGAAGTACCTCTGCATCCTGGGGGTGAACCTCCGGAAGACGGAAGGGATCTTGGTGGTGCGCCTCTTCAGCCACCTCTGGAAGCCCGAGTAGTCGGGGTCCTGGATGAGGTCGGCGCTCTGCCAGGGTGGGTTCCCGGTCAGGCAGACGAAGAGGACGATGCCGAACTGCCAGCAGTCGGCGCTCCTCTTGCAGGTGTACCGCTCGTTCCTGATCACCTCGTAGATCTCCGGGGGCTGGAAGGGCACCCAGGTGCACCGGATCTTCCCGACGAGGGTGCCCTCCCTCCTGGTGCATCCGAAGTCGCAGAGCTTGATCTTGGACATGTCCGAGGAGAAGACCAGGACGTTCTCCAGCTTGACGTCCCTGTGAGCCAGCTGCTTCGAGTGCAGGAAGTCCAGGGCCGAGGAGAGCTGCGAGGCTATCCTTTTGCACACTTCCTCCCCCAATCCACCTGCCTTGACGTTTCCTGATAGGTCCCCGTAGGGTGCGTACTCCTGGGCGAAGACGTAGCACTTCTCCGCCCGGAAGGCCACCGCGTAGGAGCTCAGGATGTTCGGATGAGGACTCAGGTGGTACGAGTAGTGGAACTCCCGGAAGAAGTCCTTCTCCGTCGTCAGCTCCTGGTGTACCGCCTTCAGGACCACTCTGGTCTGCGTCCTCCTGTGCGTCGCCAGCAGGACCTTCGCAAAGCTACCCTCCCCCAGGGTCTTCTCCACGTTGTACTCCTTGGACAGGTCCAGCTCCTCCAGGACCACCTCCTGGATCCTGTGGATCCCGGACTCCTTCTTCTCGTGCAGCTTCATCTGGAATGGGAGAAAAACTACGTCAGACTCCGAGCCCACCTGATAACGAACCTTTCATCCCTTATCGATCCCTATTGTCGACTATCGATTCCAGGGGGTCGGTAACGAGTTCGCGAACCGGGTCGTCTCCTTTGTAACTACGGGGATGTCACTTGCAAGCGTCCCGACGTCGACGAGCCTATTGTCAACCCCCTGGGGAGGAGGGACTCCCCACATGTATCGACAGGGAGGATCCCGAAGTCCTTTGACAAAGCCTCCCACAGGAGTTCCCTCCTTCCCCCGTAAAATCGGGATTTCGACCCCATTCGACCGGATTCCTGGATGAACCTTCAGGCATCTGACATCTCTCTTCGGGTTCCCCGAGGTATCCTTTCTGCGACCTGGACCTCCACCTCCCGTACCTCCCCAAGAACTCACCCTAACCCTCGTCATCCCTTTCTTCTCTCATCTTCCAATGAATTATCTCGAATAATTGCTCGTTCGTCAATGGACCCTTGATAATAACCATGATATTGATAATGACAAGGGTATTGATAATGACACGATATGACTAGAACATTGATAATGACACGATATGACCACGGTATTGATAACGACACGATATGACCACGATGTTCATAATGACACAATATGACCACGATATTGAAAATGACAGGATAGGACCACGACATTGATAATGACACGATATGACCACGATATTGATAATGATAAGACGGGATATCTCATGTACCCCCCATGAACTTTGAAAACCGGTGACGTCTTCAGGTCCTTCTTCAGGATCGCGCCTGGACGCTAACCTACATGGCTAATTCTTTTCCTCTCTTTATCTTTTTCTTCTTCCAAGATTCTCTTTCCCTTATTTCTCCCAAGATCCTCTTTTTCTTGGTTTTTTACGAGGTCGGCAAAAACGATGGAGGGAATTCTCAGGACCGGCCCGCGTTAAATTTCATCCGCTTAACCGCGGCCTCCGGGTGATTCACGTTTTCCGCGTATCCTACGTCAGCGAAAATCGCACGCGGATAATCCGCAACTCCCCCCCGATGTCCCCTCGAACGAGGTCCCAGGGGAAATAAACGAGGATGACGAAAAATCCCAACCCTGGATCACGCAATAATTGGTTAAAGACTCTGGATGACGAGGGGGGATTTCATTTTTTATCCCCCCATACTCGCCAGGGGCGATTATCATCGAAATTATCATTACCGGGATAGTGATTAGTAGCTGAAGAGCGCGGCTAACCCCATGATAAGGGGGTCTAATCACTCGGAAATCAGTGAAAATGATTTCCCTCTCCGAAGAACCGATTGCCCTTTGATTGCGCGTGACAATGGGATTTGATAACAAAAGACGTCCGGTATTGATAACCCGATGACGTCTAGATTTTTAATAATTTTCCATGCTTTCCAGATTTAACATCCATGATTTCCTGAGGGAACAGGCCCCCAAGGAAGAAGCAAAAGTATCATGGATGGATTGATCGAGTGTCCATCCTGAAAGATAACAATGGGATAAAGAGTAAAACTCGACTCGGGCGGTGATCGATATTTTCTTGGCACCGCCGCGTTTTCTGGACCGCGGCCAGGACCCGTCGCGGTTTTTCGGTCCGGCGTCGCGACGGCCTCCAGGGCCGTCCTGCGCCCAGGAGGCCCCTGCAGGACGCGCGACGTTTCAGGACCTCTTATCGCGGAGGAGAGATTTGATCTAATTTCGATCCTTGATGAAAGGGATCTTTTTCGGGGGATTTTTCAGACGGAATTCTCTTCGGTCGGTTTCCACTTTCCGAGGGACCGCGGCCCCGGATTGGCGGGCGCTTCCTGGGGGGTGGCCGGGCGAACCCAGGACCTTTGGAGCGGTTAGATCAATAGCAAGGACCTCGCTCGGTGCCGGCCTCGGCACCTCCTCTCTCGAAATCATCCCCGATGAGTGCCTATCGAGAAGTCGGGACTTCAATCGATCACTTGTCGATTTTAGGCGGTAAAATCCCGTTCAAATCGCATTTAACTCTCGTTTCAAGCGTTAAAATCGTTTTAATTGAATTTATGTCGCGTTTCACGCGTGGAAATCATTTTAATTGCATGTAAGTTGCATTACACGAGTTAAAATCATTTAAATTGCATTTAAGTTGTATGTCACGGGTGAAAATCATTTAAATTGCACGTAAGTTGCATTTCACGCGTTGAAATAATTTAAATTGCATTTAAGTTGAATTTAAGTCTAATTTCTCGCGTGAAAATTAATTGAATGGCATTAAAGTTGAATTAAAATCGCGTTTCAGGGACCGCGACTCGACTCGCACGAAGAACGAAGAGAACACTCTTGGACGTAGCTTAATGAGTCACTGCTGTTTTAGGAGCCCTCGGCCGAGTCTAAAACACTCGCGGGATATCGGGCCTTTGATCTTCCACAAACAAGAGGATTTTTCTTCCGAGGAGGACGGAGCGATTCCCTCTGGTCTCTCTTTCCGAAGACGGAGGAGACGAGAACAGGATTTTTGCCCACCGGCTGAGAGAGAAAACTGATTTCCGGATCCTGTGATAAGGATAACTCGTCCCTTAATCTCAGATTTATCCCTAAAAAATCCCCTAGGGGGTGAAGGATGTCTTAGGTCAGTACCTAGACGACTAGGAGGTAATCGATGATCGATCGGCTCTTTGGCGCCCACCCTTGATTTTGCCCAGACTCTTCTGAATTATCCCATGAATTTGTTATCATGTTCTTCGCCCCCAGGGTGGAGGGCATTATGGGGCTCGTTGTTGGGGTGGTTTATCCATTGTTGGGGTTGGAAACACTCCCCGGAGGGGTCTCACGCGGTGGAGTGCATCGAGGAGGACAATCTCGAAGAGAGGCAAAAAGAGCTTGGTCGTTGATCTCGTTCGAGGAAAGTTGCAAAGGGAGATTCACATGAAACTGATTAAGGGTAGAAGGGGTCCGATTAGACCCCATCTAAAATTCGGGATCGATCGTCGCGAGTTTTTTCGAAAAACGCCCCCGACAATCTTGGCACCGAAATTGCCTGATAAAAGGAGAGGGGGGAGGAATTTTAATTCCCCTGGAATCGCTGATATTAAATCACTACGTCTACAGTCGTTCTTTCGGGCAGAGCGTTAGTTGAGAATCTCTCAAGCTTACCGTAGAAAATTTTGATTTTTCGAAAATTTGGGCTTAGGACTGCGCATAGCTCGAGGGTCCGATTGGACGCCATCCAAAATCGGGGACCGGCGATCGATCGTCGCGAGTTTTTTTTAAAAACGCCCCCGACAATCTTGGCACCGAAATTGCCTGATAAAAAGAGAGAGAGGAGGAATTTTGATTTCCCTGGAATCGCTGATTTTTAATCACTACGTCTACAGTCGTTCTTTCGGGCAGAGCGTTAGTTGAGAATTTCTCAAGCTTACCGTAGAAAATTCTGATTTTCCGAAAATCTGGGCTTAATTTCGGCGCACACCGAGAGGTCTCTTCCACTATTCCGAAATCCGAGGTCAGACCTCCCCTCGCGTCACATATCTCGGGAACTCGGGTCCCCGAAATCCCAGGGGACTCCTTTGTGGTCCCTTTTCACTTTCGGCACTTTTTCACGGCCCCTCTTAAGTCGCGACTTCCTTATCAGTCGAGACACTTCCCCAGGATATGGAAAAGAGCGATAGGAGGGAATTCCTTCAGAGGGTTCGCCGCGGGTTCGCGAAGTCACATTTTCGCCAGACACGCGTCCGACTCGCGTCTGGAGGCGCCGCGACGCCCGGCGTCGCTTATATGGAGCGTCGCTTCTCGGACGCGTGCGCGGAAGAGCGAGAGAGAGAGGAAACCCTGGACGCTTTTGAAAATCTCTGACGTACCTCGTCGGTTTTCACGGCTCGGCGGCCGCTTTTCCGCCGCGGCCTCCGGGCGGCGAATTTCCGCCGCGTTTTTCCGCGGCGGCGAATTTCCGCGCCCTGGCTGCGTTTTCGGAAACGTTTCGCGAAACTTCGTGGTTTTCCTCCCGAGGTCCTTTCCAGTTTACCGGGTTAAGGACCCTCTAGGACCCTCCAGGATCCCCTCGACGGAGATAAGGGGTGATAACGATTAGTGGGGTGATTACGCGAAAAGTACCCTCCTCCTGCCGACGATTTTCCTCGGATTTCCGAAATATCCTGCGACTACCTCTGATATCCTTGGTGGGTGGTGTCCTTCCCCAGATTTCAGAAATACGACGCCGTGTCCTTATCAGTCGCTAGGCTGATTATTTTCCCCGGGTTTCGGGGAAGCCGACCTTCTGTGGGAGTTATTTCCATCCTGGCTGTTAAAGGATCAATGAAATCCTCTGATCCTGCAGGTTGGTTCCGGGAATCATCCCTGGGATTTATTCCCATCCTTGAGGACGCCGTTTGGATCTTTCATGCGGATTATAGGTACGCAGTTATTTCGAATCCTTCTTCTGATAAGGCTAGGAATAATCGGTGATAATGTGGACACATAGGTGTCCTTGCGATTATTTTTTACCAGGGTCCTTGTCGAGATCTATTCGTCTTTTGACTCGAATTATTAATTTTGAAGTACGTGGTTATTTCGGATGCCTCGACTGATAACGTTAGGAAAAATCACTGATTAGTGATAATTTCATTTTTTATGTGGGTACATAGGTATCCTTCCGATTATTTTTTACCAGGGTCCTTGTCGAGATCTATTCGTCTTTTGATGCGAATTATTAATTTCTAGGTCCGCGGTTATTTCAGATGCCCCCACTGATAACGTTAGGAAAGATTGCTGATTAGTGATAATTTCATTTTTTATGTGGGCACATAGGTATCCTTGCGATTCTTTTTTACCAGGGTCCTTGACGATATCCGTTCGTCTTTTGACGCGAATTATTAATTTTGAAGTACGCGGTTATCTCGGATGCCTCTACTGATAACGATTAGTGATAATTTCATTTTTTATGTGAGCACATAGGTGTCCTTGTGATTATTTTTTACCAGGGTCCTTGTCGAGACCTATTCGTCTTTTGACGGGAATTATTAATTTTTAGGTACGCGTTATCTCGGATGCCTCGACTGATAAGGTTAGGAAATTTCGACGCGAATTATTAATTTCTAGGTTCGCGGTTATCCCGGATCCCTCGACTGATAAGGTTAGGAAAGATCGCCGGTGTTTGCGGGAGGCTGATTGTAATTCGATTTTCCGGGTGGACAGAGACGGCGGAGGGAATCCGCCCACGACGGAGGAGGTCCTGAGGATACGCGAGAGGAAGCGACACACGTCGGCCCCCGGGCACGCACAATGCCTCGCCATTAAGGGGCTAAGAAATTCGATTCAAGCTGGCGGGCGTGGGAGAATGTCTGGTTTATCTTCTATTTCATGGCGAAGCGTGGGCGAACAGGGGATGAACGCATGCGAACCTGCTACGGGGATGCCGGATCCCGAGGGACCATCCTCTAGGACATTAAGGTCCTGGAGATCTCCTTCTTGATCCGAGCCGAGTTTATCTCTCGTTATCTCGCGTCCGTGAAAGATATCGAAAGGTCCTAGGGGATGTTTTTCTCTTTATTCCCGTAATCAAATACAAAGAGTCGTATGATAAGAAACGGATATACAAAGTAACGTGGGAAATCGGGTATAATAAATAATGATAAATAATTAAAATTAGATAGCAGTTGGAGCTTATGGGAGTTTATTTTTTCCGTTTCTGAGACACGCCGAGAACAGGATTTCGCTGCCAGTTTCGCTGCCAGTTTCGCTACCAGAGCCAAGTTTATCCCTAGTTATCTCGCGTCCATGAAAGATATAGAAAGGTCCTAGGGGATGTTTTTCTCTTTATTCCCACAATCAACTACAAAGAGTCGTATGATAAGGGACGGACACACAAAGTAACGTGGAAATTCGCGTACAATAAATAATAATAAATAATGATAAATAATTAAAATTAGATAGCAGTTGGAGCTTGTGGTAGTTCCTTTTTTCCGTTTATGAGACACGTCGAGCACAGGATTTCGCTGCCAGTTTCGCTGCCAGTTTCGCTATCAGTTTCGCTGCCAGTTTCGACCCCGGTTTCGCTGTCGGTTTCGCTGCCAGTTTCGCTGCCAGTTTCGCTGCCAGTTTCGCTGCAGCAATCGCTGGTGGAGTCAAGGGACGTGAGACTGTCATCGTCATCGTCCGAGGTCCAGGAGATTTCGGAGTCATCACAACTGCCGAAGCTGGTGCTGTACTCGGAGCTGGCTTCCCAATAGTCCTCGGAAAAGGACGACTCGTCCGAGGACGCCTCTTCAGCTGAAAGTACCCTCTAATCAGCTATCGGAGCGCCCAAGATAAGGTCCCTAGGGTCCCCGCAAAAATGACCCACACTCACCGTTCCCGTTTTTCTCGAAATCACCGGTGGTCTCGGTTTTCCTCAGCTGGACCTGCCAGGACTCCATTATTTCTATGGAAATTGTGATCCTAAGTCTGGAATGTTCCCGGGGTAGATGACAGGAACATATCACTTTACAATTCATGACATAGAGACCTTCCTCAATTTCCAGCACCGAGGCTCGACTGATCGTTCGACGAGTACGTATAATCGCGACAAGTGTCGTTATCGTAAACACAGAAGGGAAAAAAAAAAATAAAGCCTGGTTCACACCGAGATTATCGTCGGCGCTAGTTCGACGAGCGTGGTATAAATTCATTTGGAGGATTTTTTAAATTACTTTATATAAGAAATCTGGGCTTGCGTATGATATAAGTAATTAAAGGACATCTCTGGGAAGCTACTAAAAAATTAAGGATGATCTAGGAGGCGATGATCGATGAGCTATGATTTTCCATTATCACCGGTTGCCTCTATTCCCGTGGTAACGTTAGGTTTACGCACACGCATGTATTACCATTTTTTTTTCTCCGGCCTGTAAGGTGAATGTCGACTCTCGGGATGAGGAGTGAATAAGGATCTATCGATCCCTGGGAAGGAATTAATTTTTCTTCCTCGAAATTGCGAGATAAATCTGCGATGATCGTGCGATCCAGATCTGGGACGCTCGGCGGATTCTTTCTTTTTAATCACACTTTCTACAAGAAATCTAGGCTTGCATATGATGTAAGTAATTAAAGGACATCCCTGGGAAGCTCCTAAAAAATTAAGGATGATCTAGGAGGCGATGATCGATGAATTATGATTTTCCATTATCACCGGTTGCCTCTATTCGCGTGGTAACGTTAGGTTTACGCACACGCTTGTATTATAATTTTTTTTTCTCCGGCCTGTAAGATGAATATCGACTCTCGGGATGAGGAATAAATAAGGATCTACCGGTCCTTGACAAAGGATTTATTTTTGCTGTCGGTCACTGGCCCGGGAACGACCGAGCTGGATATCCGCGAGAGCTCGGGAATTCGGAGGCGTGTCTTTCAAGGTGTGTGCTCATGAATATTCATCGGGGACCCGATGAATTTCTTTCTTTTTTCCTTTTTCATCGCCGTTGTCAGTTTTGAACCTAGGAAAAAATCCGGGACCCACTCCCGAGTCCTTTGGGTCCTTGGTGATCCTTTGGCTCCGATGAATTTCCATATCCGCTAACTCGGAGATGGGAGATCTCAAAAATTTCTATCTTTTACGGTTTAAATTCCATTTTGCGACCTGTTAAGTGGATAATTAATTAGCCGTCAAATTAGGATCTCCAAGACTAGTTTCATTTTGGGAAGAAGAGGAAATCTGAAATACGCGTTATTGCGAAACAATCGGGATTTCATAATCAGCGGTCTTAAGGATAGCTGGAACGATTTAATTTTTCACTAAATTTTCCGACTTATTAAAAGTATAATTATTTAATTAGCCGTCGAATTAGGATCTCTAAGACTAGTTTCATTTTGGGAAGAAGAGGAAATCTGAAATACGCGTTATTGCGAAACAATCGGGATTTCATAATCAGCGGTCTTAAGGATAGCTGCAACGATTTAATTTTTCACTAAATTTTCCGACTTATTAAAAGTATAATTATTTAATTAGCCGTCGAATTAGGATCTCTAAGACTAGTTTCATTTTGGGAAGAAGGGGAAATCGGAAATACGCGTTGTTGCAAAACAATCGGGATTTCATAATCGGCGGTCTTAAGGATAGCTGCAACGATTTCCCTGAATCCCGATGAGAGCGTCATCGCGCTAAAGTTTATAAACAAATTCCCTCCGGGGGCGGCGGATTTATTTCGATCCGAGATGAGAGGAGCAAATAGAGAAGGTCGTGATAGAGCTTCTGGAATCGATCGTGGGAATCTCCCTGGGGAAATTTCGGGAATTAAACAAATCTCTCGCTCTGTGTATGTGAAAAATCCTGCGAGCCGATTTATAAAATCGGGGAAAAATCATAGCTGATCCATCGATCGGCTCGTTTCTTTGGAGATACGGTCGTGCGAGAGATCGTGAGATTTTTCCCGATTTTTTTCCTCCTACTCCGGTCACTGATAAGGGAGTTATCACGAACCGGCTGTAGCCGATCTCCTGAGGTCCATGTCCTCTTCCACGGAGATCGTAAGTGGAGTAAGGTCCAGTTCTCGACGAAAGTATATGGAATGCTTGCCCTGGGGCGAACGGGCACACCAAAATAAAATGTTTATTCAACGCGGTAAGACCGGTGTCGGCGTATGTGTGCGCCGATATGTAAGACCCGTTTATGTACCGCGTTCGTATATATGATAGTGTCATCGGGACTCGGAGGAGAGTTGCATGCCACGCGCCGACGTCGACGTGTCGAAGGTAAGGATCCTCGATCCCCCGGGGGTCCACGGTCCTCGGGAAACTGAAGAGAAATTTGGAAAAGTCAGACAAATTCTTAATAAAGGGACGAGTGCGCGATATTGGAATAATTAAGAAAATTCCATTAATTTCGCCTGAATCTTGAGGATTTACATTAACGGGATGGCAGAAACGAATTCCCGGGACGGGGAAATAAGTGCGCGAAATTTGAGAAAATTCAGAAATCTTTTCCACAATTTTGCAGATTTCTATTAATAGGAAAGAAGAGACGAATTCGCGAAGACGGGGAAATAAGTGCGCGAAATTTTAAGAAATTCAGAAATTTTTTCCACAATCTTTCAGATTTCCATTAACGAGATGAGAGAAGGGAATTCGCGAGAGAGGGAAATAAGTGCGCAAAATTAGAAAAATTGAGGAAAAAATCGGAACATTCCGGGAAATCGGTTAATTAATGATAAAGTAGAGAGGATGAAATTTCATTAACACGAGTGTAGAGGATCGGAATTACCGGCGTACATCCATGGGTTCGATCGGAGAACGTCGACGTCATCTCTCGTCATCTCTCGTCATCGGGCGTTATTGGAAATAGATTTCCAGGAACGATCCTGCTCCAGGCCCGTTGACAAGGTTTCCATTGCGCAACCTTAACGTGTACCAATCGGCGATAATGCTAATCAATACGGGAACAATAAATTAAAATGAATTAAAATCAATTAAATTGAACCAACTCGATAAAATATTCCCAATCATTTAAACTCTATGCACCAAAAACGAGTGGGTTATCATTTTGCTGCACTGCGTTAAAAATGACTTGCTTATCATATTAAAAACGATTTGGTTATCATTCCACGCATCATTTGAAAATCCAGTAGGTTATTATTTTAGCGCTTAATTAAAAAAAGCGGTTCGGTTAAGCGTCGCGACTTTAATTTCGCAACCAAAGGACTGACTTGCACTACATGAAAAATTAGTTGCTTATCATATTAAAAACAATTTGGTTATCATTCCACGCATCATTTGAAAATCCAGTAGGTTATTATTTTAGCGCTTAATTAACAAAAGCGGTTCGGTTAAGCGTCGCGACTTTAATTTCGCAACCAAAGGACTGACTTGCACTACATGAAAAATTAGTTGCTTATCATATTAAAAACGATTTGGTTATCATTCCACGCATCATTTGAAAATCCAGTAGGTTATTATTTTAGCGCTTAATTAACAAAAGCGGTTCGGTTAAGCGTCGCGACTTTAATTTCGCAACCAAAGGACTGACTTGCACTACATGAAAAATTAGTTGCTTATCATATTAAAAACGATTTGGTTATCATTCCACGCATAATTTGAAAATCCAGTAGGTTATTATTTCAGCGCTTAATTAACAAAAGCGGTTCGGTTAAGCGTCGCGACTTTAATTTCGCAACCAAAGGACTGAGTCCAGGATTTCCTTCCAGATGTTGAAGTCCTTGCTGAGCGTGTCCTGGGCGATGTGCCTCCTGGGGAGGATGGGAGCAACCAGCATGGACCCAGGTTCCATCCGAAGATCCCAGCGAGAGTTTCCCGGGAAACTGGCCCCGGGAAATGCGAATCTGGAGGAAAAGTCGATCCCTCTTCCTCGTTTATACGAGGGGGAGAGACCCTCAGGACTCCCCGGGGCGACGAATCTGGGAGAGATGCCGCAGCTGAGAGAGCTTCCTGGGACCAGGAACCTGGCCGAGAAGGCGATTCCCGAGTGGATCACCCTGAAGAGGAGCCGGGAAATCTCGTCCATCCCGAGATCCGAGGTGGAGGTCCTGTCGTTCCCTCTGGAGCCGACGAAGGACTTCCAGGATTTCAGAACTGCCAAAGGTCTGTCCTCGAAGGACCTGGGGGGACTCTTCGGGGACTCTAGGAAAGGACCTCTTCCAGATCTTTCTAATCAACCCTAGGGATGGACTTCCAGGATCGCTTCGAGATGTAACAAGGACTTCCAGCTCGCTTATCAGCCTTATCGGATGCTCGATGAGTCCCTTATCGAGACTCCTGTCGATCCATTAAACGTCTCTCCATTTTTTATCCCGGGTGTCCGTTTTTAATTTAATTCCGATTACATGCTGATCATGAAAGTGGTCTAATTGACTTTTTCATTCCTAGGAAATTAAGTTCATCTTATTATCATTTTCATTCCTAGGAAATTAAGTCCATATTGTTATTTGAATGCGTAAAACATGGAATATGGAATAGGCTGATTTTTAGATTTTTTATCAAATTTTTCAGATTTAATTGGACCACTTTCATTATCTCGGGGATGAGTTCCGTTTCCGGTTTGCAGTATGTTGAGGTCCCTCTCTGTAGATGGAGCTTGGTGGCGATTAAAAGTACCGACCGCTGCCGGTAAGGAAGAACACGAGAACGGAGTCTCGCGTGTGTTGATAAGAGTGATATCGTATCAGCCGCGAGAAGTAGGGCCCTGTAAAAATCCGATAATGGCTCGAGGTACCGGAAACGGAGAGGGGCGCCCTCTACAACCTGTACTTCCTGTTTCCCACGAAAGGTAATCAGTAATTCGTCCTGATAATTACGTAACACTTCAATGAAAAATGTATAAAATAATTGTTCCACCTTGATTAGAATTTGCGTTTACATTTTGTGATAGGCTTTACGAGGCATCAGAGCTTTTCAAAGCCTCTATATGCTATATAATCCCGATTGATCGCTCAGATGCCACTTTCTTATCACCTTAAGGTGATATACAATCTAAAGATATATATATACATAACAAAAAATGGAAATATTTATATAACTTTTCTCCAAACTGGGTGCATCGAATTATCCCATACCTTGACACGTGATTATGGAGGCCTTAAGAAATAACCATCGTGAGATGTCTTAAAAAAAAATGTTCGTACTTATCTTGGACAAGAACTAAAAAAAATATATATTTTTTTTCTTCGAAAAATGACATTTCTCGGGCAGAGCGCTCTTCCTTAGCGCCTCCACGATCACGTGTCAATGTTTTGGATAATTTGGTGCGCCCATTTTGGAGAAAGGTGTTATAAATATTTTCCCTTTTTATTAATGTACATAATGCACTTTCGTACCACCTTAACTCGGCACGGACTAGGTCCTCGCTGCGTGTTTAAAGTCTAATCCACCGGGGCCGGATTTCGACCCCTGATTAACTTTCGGGCTTAATCCGAGCTTTTAAGCTCGGAGTTCTCGCAACACACACGTCGGCCCCCGATTGCGGGAAAATCCCGCATGGGCGGAAAGCCCGAAAGATGCGCCTAATTTCCGCACGCGGATTGACAGAAAATTATCATGCCAATCGTTTCTCCTTCCTGAGGAAAATACACTTCTGATAAATAAACCATATCGATCGGTGATCGATTGATGGGTCTCGTTGGATCTTTACCGCCTTATCAGATGATTACACGATATTCTGATAAATAAACCATATCGATAGGGGATCGATTGATGGGTCTCGTTTGATCTTTATCGCCTTATCAGACGATTACACGATATCTCGATGTCCTGGGGGGTCCTCGGAAAAGGGTTACCCTCTCTTCTTCTGGACCAACGAGGGGATAATCGAGTTAGCGAAGAAACTTACTCGGAATTAAGCCTAACCAAGTTAAGGGGGGGCGCGATCTCTTAAGCACTGCCTTAACGAGTCGCCGTTAAGGGCGGCGCGGTTTCCGCAGACGGGAAAAAAAAAGTGATATAAAGGGGGTCCTTAAGCCATTTGCATCATTAGCGTATATATCCGCTCAGTTTCCTGGTCACTATCACGGGAGCGTATGTAGGATCAGTTTCCCTGGTCACTATCATTAAGACTGAAGTTTGGTGATAAGGACCCTCTTTTTCATACTTCCTTATCATTCAAATGGGTTAAGAGTTCAGTTTTCCTGGTCACTATCATCGGAACATATGTAGGATCTGTTTCCCTGGTCACTATCATTAAGACTGAAGTTTGGTGATAAGGACCCTCTTTTTCATACTTCCTTATCATTCAAATGGGTTAAGAGTTCAATTTTCTAGTCACTATCATCGGAACATATGTACGATCTGTTTTCCTGGTCACTATCATTAAGACTGAAATTTGGTGATAAGGACCCTCTTTTTCATACTTCCTTATCATGCAAATGCGTTAAGAGCTCAATTTTCTGGTCACTAACATCGGAGTTCATGTACGATCTGTTTTCCTGGTCACTATCATTAAGACTGAAATTTGGTGATAAGGACCCTCTTTTTCATACTTCCTTATCATTCAAATGGGTTAAGAGTTCAGTTTTCCTGGTCACTATCATCGGAACATATGTACGATCTGTTTTCCTGGTCACTATCATTAAGACTGAAATTTGGTGATAAGGACTCTCTTTTTCATACTTCCTTATCATTCAAATGGGTTAAGAGCTCAATTTTCTGGTCACTATCATCGGAACATATGTACGATCTGTTTTCCTGGTCACTATCATTAAGACTGAAATTTGGTGATAAGGACCCTCTTTTTCATACTTCCTTATCATGCAAATGGGTTAAGAGAAGATCCTTGGAAATTGGGGAGGACTCCTCGACAAGGGGACTCCACAAGGCGATGCGTTTGCCAGGTCGACCCGAAATTCGAATCTCGCGAGCCCTCCACCCGGGGCAAACAAAACTTCCGTCGACGGGGGGGATGCGGCGGAAACCTGCGGAGAAAGGCGGAGAAACGCGGCCGCGGTCTAATTGAAACCGCGGGAGGGGGGGGGGAACTCGAGGAGGGAGGCGCTTCCGTGTTTACGCAAAATTGGTCCCCCTTGTCGCGTTCCGCCGCGGCCGTTCCGCCGCGGCCTCGGCCGGCCCCGTAAACGGGAATACTTCCGCGGGGAAATATCCGCGGCCGACCTTCGGAAATTGGAGTCTAGGGTTTTCTTTTTTTTTCTTCCTCTCCTCTTTTACCCCTTTCTTCCTTTTATTATTTCCTTCCTTTCCTTTTTCCTATTTTTTTCTCCGTTTCGTTTTCTGAAATTCCGCAATTGCGGTAATTCCGCGATCCTCCACCCGGAGTTTCCGCAAGCTCTCCCGGTCTTGCCCGGCCTGGCAATCGACGGATCCTCGAAAGTGCGCGCGGGCATTCCGCCGCGTCCTCTCCGCCGCACTCGGCCGCACTCGCCTATCGACGGAACCGCGTCCCCTGCGCGCGCAATAAGCCACCGGATAATCCCCCTAGCGAGTACTCGAGGAATTACACAATGAGCACCTGAATGCACCTGCGCGAGTGGGCCGCTGCGGCCGCCGCATGTCGCCGGGGTTGTTATTGCCGGCATTATCGCTATACACGCGAACCGTCCGCGCGGAAATATCGCGTGAACGCACCCTCTGTGATTCGACGCGAGCGTGCGCGTGTCCCCGCGACCCGGAATGCCGGGGTACCAGTCACGGGGTGAACGGGGTCGCGATTAAGATGTCACCCCCTACGTCCACCTCGGATTCCCGGGACGCGCGGAAAAAAAACGCATCGAACAATACGAAGGAATATCATGCGATTTCAATCAATAATCCGACTCGAATGAATTTGAATAAATTTGATACGGCGTTTTTCCGCGATTAAGATGTCACCCCCTACGTCCACCTCGGATTCCCGGGACGCGCGGAAAAAAAAACGCATCGAATAATACGAAGGAATATCATGCGATTTCAATCAATAATCCGACTCGAATGAATTTGAATAAATTTTATACGGCGTTTTTCCGCGATTAAGATGTCACCCCCTACGTCCACCTTGGATTCCCGGGACGCGCGGAAAAAAAAACGCATCGAACAATACGAAGGAATATCTTGCGATTCAAGCAATAATCCGACTCGAATGAATTTGAATAAATTTGATACGGCGTTTTTCCGCGACTAAGATGTCACCCCCTACGTCCACCTCGGATTCCCGGGACGCGCGGAAAAAACAACGCATCGAATAATACGAAGGAATATCATGCGATTTCAATCAATAATCCGACTCGAATGAATTTGAATAAATTTGATACGGCGTTTTTCCGTAATTAAGCGTTTTAATTTGGCGTTTTTCCGCGACTAAGATGTCGCTACGTCCACCTCGGATTCCCGGGACGCGCGGAAAAAAAAACGCATCGAATAATACGAAGGAATATCATGCGATTTCAGGAATATGACTCGAATTATGGTATTTCAAGTACCAGTCAGGGGGTGAACAGTGATTAAGATGTCACCCCCCATGTCCACCTCGGATTCCCGGGACACGCGGAAAAAAAAACGCATCGAATAATACGAAGGAATATCATGTGATTTCAGGAATATGACTCGAATTATGGTATTTCAAGTAGCAGTCAGGGGGTGAACAGCGATTAAGATGTCACCCCCCATGTCCACCTCGGATTCCCGGGACGTGCGGAAAAAAAAAGAAACGCACCGAATCTCTCCTGAGATCGGCGGAAATCCATCAAAGGTATTCCCTAGTAGCGGGAAATCCGCGAATCGATTCCGCGTGTCCGCGCGATAAGCATTGACATTTATGACCCGCCTCGCGGCGGTATAATGTCACCAGAGGGTGGGTGGGTGGNGGGGGGGGGGGGGGGGGTGGGGTAAACGTACGCGATAAAGCGACCAGAGGGGGTGCCCAAAGTTTGATGAGCCGTGTAAATCTCGGGAATTTCGAGAGTTTCCGCAGTCGTCCGAATTTCGGGAATCGGAGTCGAGGCGGAATCTGGGGGAATATCCGGGGAAATCGGCGCTTATCACCCTAGGAATTAATTAATCGACGTCGGTAAAGGGGAGACTCATCGGCGGGTTCGGTGTTTTACTCCGGCCCACCTGTGTGTGAGATAAAAGCGGCGGAAAGGGCGACGGGGCGGGTAAAACGCGTCGGGAAAAGTAAGATACCCTCCGGCGATGAACGGCCGATCGCGTTTAATCAGCTAATGAATATTAAGCCAATCCGCGGATTCCCGTCGGATCGTGGACATATCAATATTTGCACGGTGATCGAAATCGCGGCGCGATGGCACGCCGATTAATTGCTCAGATTATCGCGTAAATTTAACTTGACCTCTCCAAGGGGGGTTGCGGGTGACCCACCCCCCACAGGGTGGTGGAATTCAAATTTTCATGATTTTTT